GGGGGGGTGGGGGGGGGGGGGGGGGGGGGGGCACGGGAAGGAGATGGTAGGAGCTAAGTTTCCTTCTTGCGGGATTTCTTGGTCACGAGGCGAGGTGAGCGAGAGGCAGCGCGCGCGCACCTCCCTTATCATATGGCCTTTCTGGGCGGCCCTGTCTAGCGCCGTTTTCTTGGTACGCCCAGACGGGCAGCTGATGGTGGGAGAAAAACGAGACGAAGCGAGCGAGTGGGAGCGGAGGAAGCAGCGTGCCTGGCGGGCGGCGACAAAGGGCAGTGTGAGACACGCGATGGAGATCCGCGGCAGCGTTGTTGTCGATTGCCGAATCGGGAGCGTTGGATATGGCCACGGCGCTTGCGGTCAGTGTGCGTGTGAGAGCGTGGGCGTGCGCGTGGGCGGGTTTGGGTGAGGGTGATGGTACGGCGGGCGACAGAAGCTACCAGCGCCGGCACCTCACCCACGCCCGGCGCACGCGTCGCCGGGGACAGAAAAAGGACGGGAGAAGCAGATGGTGCGAGAAGAGGCGGAGCGCGTGCGTCAGGATGCGGGAGAACGTCAAGAGGAACGTGGAGGGCAGGCATGAGGTAAGGTAAAGATACAGGCAGGCGGCAAAGCATACGCAACGCAGCCAATCGAAGGAGCGAGACGGGAAGGCGGCCAGCTGTAACAGGCGTGGAGACGGCTCAGACTGGCCAGCGGACAGCGGGCCAGAAGAAACGCGATGATCGAAGGTTGTTGATGCGATAGGAAAGGGTTTAGCGTCGTCGAGTCTGAACTGTTGTTGCGAGTGATCTGGAGCACGCCAAGCCGCGTCTCAGCGCCTTAAGTAGGACTCAGCTCCCCTCCCCGCGCGCGAGACGTGCTCCGGCAGCTCACTTGTCTCCCCATCGCAACGCCCTCCTCGCCCGCACCCCGCCAAATAGCCCGCTCTTGCAGCCCGTCGTTGAACAGCTCCGCTCTCGCACTACTCAGCGCATCCCATTACCCCCAGTCGTCGCCGCCATGCCTCCCAAGAAGTCTGCCGCTGCCGCGCCCAAGAAGGCCGTCAGTGCTACCCCCGCCCACACCTCCTACCAAGGTATGCTGCACTCACCCACGCCGATGCCATGCAATCGCTCCATCCCCATCGTGTTCTCCGGCCAATGCTGATTCGGTACCGTAGCCATGATTTCGGATGCTATTCTTGCTGTGAGTCCACGTTCTCCGGCGCATTACGGTCGCACTCGCGCCTCGCTGCGCGCCCCCGCCGCGCGCCCGATCTGTGCCCGCCAACTTGCCTTTCCGAGGCTTGCAATGCCTGAGGAAGCTTGCTAACGTCTTTCTCCGTCTCTCAGCTCAAGGAGCGTTCCGGTAGCAGGTTGGTTTTCCTATCTTGCGCTTGCACCTCGCCGTCGCGTGACGTGCCTTGCTCTTGACTTGCCCGAATGAGATGCTGACACGACTGTACAGCCGCCAAGCCATCAAGAAGTATGTCAAGGCCAACAACAAGATCGGCGACATCACCCCTGCTCAGTTCAACTCCCACATCAACCGTGCTATCCAGCAGGGTGTGGAGAAGGGTCACTTTGACCAGCCCAAGGGTGAGTTTTGCAACCGAGCTTGCCCATGCGCCGCTAACCATGCCTGTGTTGTGCAGGTGCCTCTGGTCCGGTGAAGCTCAAGAAGTCGGACAAGAAGGAGGCCCCAAAGAAGGCCTCGCCTCCTGCTACTAAGAAGGAGGCGCCCAAGAAGGCTGCTGCTCCTAAGGTCAGACCCGTGGCAACTTGATGATGGTCCCTTGATCCTAACTCATCCACAGAAGGTTGCTGAGAAGAAGGCTGCTCCCGCTAAGAAGGCCACCACCACCAAGAAGGCTGCTGCGCCTAAGAAGGCTGCTGCTGTCAAGGCCGCGCCCAAGAAGGCTGTCGCCGCCGCCAAGCCCAAGGCCAACGCCGGCCGTCCTCGCAAAGCCGCCGCCACCTCGGTATGTTATCGCCATGAGCGAAAGCGCTGTAGCTGAGCTGACTCGAACCCCAGGCCCCTGCTGTCGAGGACAAGCCCCCCACCGTCCTGGGCAAGACCAAGTCGGGACGTGTGACCAAGACCAAGGCTCCTCAATCCAAGCCGGCCGCGAAGAAGGCTGGCGCAAAGAAGGCTGCGCCGGCAAAGAAGGCGACGCCCAAGAAGGCGACCCCGAAGAAGGCCGAGGCTGATACCAAGGCTTAAGAAGCGACGTCGCACTATTCTGCCCTTCTACTCCGGACTTATTCTTCTTGCGGTGTCTGATAACATTAACTCTCGGTAACGTCACAGGGTGTTGCTGTCGTTTGTCGGGCAAGGGAGGTGGGGATTGCGGCGTTCTCACGGGTGTCCTTCGCGGTCTGATATCCTCGCATCCATCTTTCGGGCGCGGCGCGTTGTGTACTCCGGTCGGGTGCGTGGGTGCGCAGGGTGTGTTTACGGTTACGACGGGCTTGTCTTTTTTGCTGTTACGGTTCGAGGTGTGGGATCCATGGGTATATGTTTTATTTCCGTTGCGCCTCCGCTTTTGCTGTTTCTGCTGGGAAACGAAGGGTACTATGTATGCCGGGCGTTTGGGGGGTTTGGTTTTGCTGGGCTTTACGCAGTCACGCGGGAGGCAGTTCGCCGCGCGTAGAAAACGAGACTTTCTCCTGACACTTGATGGCACCCGTGAGCTCTGGGATACATGGGCGTATAGATGAGTGTGAGAGGCGGAGAATGGCAGGGCATTGGAACGGGGGGCAGCTTTGCTCTTTGAAAGTGCTGCGGCAGGCTCTATAGCGAGTAAGTAGTGCAAGCTATCTTTGGATATAGTCATTGCTTTAACTGCCCGTATTAAACGTCTGATATACAGAAAAACAAATTCACGCTAGCCTTCGGCTGCAAGACCCACCTCTCTGCACGATTGAAGTGGGAACATTGCAGAGTGTGTTTGGGAATTGCCAGAACGGGTTGCCAGCCGAGTGCTAACTGCATTGAGTGGTGGATGATACGAGTGTTCTCTATTGATAGTAACTCGAGTGGTGAGCTCGCTGCTGGAGATCTGCATGACAGCGCTAGACAGCACATCAGCTCGCCAACGGAGGCCCGTTTCAAGTGTGCAGGCCACGCAATAGCGGGCAGCTCTGCGGTCCCGGCTCCGGGGATGAGGCATGGGCGAAAGAAGGACCGAAACTGGCAGGCCGGCGCTCGCATGCGACGGGCTGGGCGGCTTTGGGGCTCAGCGGCGTCCGAGACGCAATGAGGCTCTGTGCAGCGCGCGGAAGTCGCGGCATGTGATGTCCCGTATCGCCCCTGTCGCAGGAGATGAGCGCCGGCGAAGGCTGTGGCTGCGGACTGCAAACTGCGGACTCCGGCTTGCGCTGGCCGCAACCTGCGCTGGCACTGCGAGCTGACGGCCCGGCCGTGGTCGCAACGGCGCTCTCGCCGGCAGCGCGGTCCTGGGCGCTGCAAATAGAAACCACGTGTGGGCATGGAGGCTGAGGCTGTGTGGCTCGGAGCTGGCGCGCGCGGAAGCCGAAATGACGCCCGGCCAGGCTGGGTTGATGAGGCGCGCCGCAGCTTGGCCTTCTTTGTCATCCTAGCCAGCCCACGACTGCCCACCAGCCCGCGCGAACTTCTCCCTTGACATCGCATCTCGACATTGTTTTCCTGTGATACCCCCTCCGCGCCCTCTCGCAACCACCCTCCCGCCCCGCCGCCTGCCCGCCGCCCGCCAAGCGACGCATCCGTTGCCCAGGAGGCTGCCTTACTCGTGCTCCTCGAGTCGCAATCTATCAAGCCCCAGGACTGGCCAAGCCCCCCGTCCGCTGCCAGAGCGTCCTCCTGGCTGCGTCGCCCATGCCCACCCGCTCGTGATCAGAGCATCCAGCCTCCCTCGCCATGCCCTCCTTCCTCGCCGACGACGCCGACCGTGCTGCCTACCAGGCTTCCTACTCCCAATACGCTCCCTCGTCGGCGCTGAGCGAGAAGCAACCCCCGCTGACCAACGGTGACTCCAATGCCACTCAGCATTACTCGACCACCCGCGTCTTGACCAACGGCACCTCCATCTCGAGCCAGGCTTCGTCGCTGCCAAACGGTGGTCCCGTCGGCGGTCCCCACGACGACAAGAAGTCGCCCGGCCACTCCATGGACACGGTTCGTGTCTCGCATTCTGAGTCGACCCGAAACCAGCTGGACGGTGCGGACGCAGGAGGAAGACTGGGAACCCGCGACGACGGATACTTTGCCGCCGTGCAGAACGGTGTCGCCGAGGACGGTTGTCTGACCACCCACGTGAGGCTTGAGCCGTCATCGCCCCACGGAGACGGCCCTCAACCCGCCAGGACCGTCGCGCTATCACCCACGCAAACCGCGCCCGAGCCGCCCGTCGCCCAGAGGAAGAACTCGACCGCCACCACCTCGAGCCACCCAGCTCCTGACCAGACCTTGCGCGTGCCTGGCTCGTCGACGCATCGTCTCTCCTCACCCCCCGCATTCGGCGGCAACCCGCCGGGCTCCTCATCGACAGCCTCCACCGCCCAGGCCCCTGGACTGCAGCACCGCCACACCCTGGAGGTCCCCAAGGCATCCGGCTACCGCTCCTCACGAGAGGCTCAGCGCAACTCGGACGACATGGTCGTTTCGGCCACCGGACGCTTTTCTCCCAACACGCCCACCAAGAGAAGAGGCTCCATGTCGCTGGTCAGGCGCACCACGCGCTCAATGCAGTCGGATATGCACCTCGACGAAACCCAGGCCGACGAAGATGCTGCTCGCTGGGCAGAGCATATTCGCCAGAAGAGAGCCAGCAAGAGAAAGAGGAAGGAGGATGAAGATGATGACCGTGTGGTCGTGGGTACTAAGGTGGACCAGAACCACGTGAACTGGGTTACGGCCTACAACATGTTGACCGGTATCCGTTTCACCGTCTCGCGGACGAATGCCAAGATGGACCGGCCGCTTACCGATGCCGATTTCGAGGCCAGGCATAAGTTCTCCTTCGATATGTAAGTCAAGCTTTACCATCCTGCCTTCGGGAAGCCAATACTGACTCGCTCTCGACAGCACTGGCAACGAGCTGACGCCGTCCGCCAAATACGACTTCAAGTTCAAGGACTACGCACCCTGGGTGTTCCGCCATCTGCGGCAGACGTTCAAGATCGACCCTGCGGACTACCTGATGTCGTTGACTAGCAAGTACATTCTTTCCGAACTGGGATCTCCCGGCAAGAGTGGAAGCTTTTTCTATTTTTCGCGAGACTATAAGTACATCATCAAGACCATCCACCATGCCGAGCACAAGTTCCTCCGGAGGATCCTCAAGGACTACTACAACCACGTTAGGGAGAACCCCAACACGTTGCTTTCTCAGTTTTACGGTCTTCACCGTGTGAAAATCCCCTACGGCCGCAAAATCCACTTCGTGGTGATGAACAACTTGTTCCCGCCGCACAGGGATATCCATCGCACGTTCGACTTGAAGGGATCGACCATCGGAAGAGATTTCAAGGAGGAGGATTTGGAGAAGAACCCCAGAGCCACCTTGAAAGATCTCAACTGGTTGAGGCGGAACCTGCACCTGGAGTTTGGACCTGTCAAGAAGCAGGCTTTCATTGAGCAGATGGACAGGGATGTGCAGCTCTTGAAGAAGCTGAAGATCATGGACTACTCGCTCTTGGTTGGTATCCATGACCTGGAGAAGGGCAACGAGGAAAACCTTCGCGACAAGACCCTTCAGGTGTTCCAGCCCGGTGGAGATGCTGCGGAGGATCACATACCCGATCCTCTTCAGCGGACGCCCTCGAAGCTGGAAAACGCTCGGAAGGCAAAGGAGCTCCGCCAGATCATCAAGAACCAGAAGCCGATTCCCATGGACCAGAGCAGCAATAAGATGCCAGATGACGTGCAGGAGACTCGGAAGCACTTCTATTTCTACAGCGATGATGGGGGCTTCCAAGCCACCCACGAGAACAACACGCCCGGAGAGGAGATTTACTACCTGGGAATCATCGATTGCTTGACTCACGTAAGTATTGCAAGTCGGGCCGTGCATGAGTATTTTCAATTAACTTGTGACGCAGTACTCTTTTATCAAACGAATGGAGCATTTCTTCAAGGGCCTCACAAACACAGAGTCTCAAATCTCCGCCATCCCTCCGGAACGGTACGGCGACCGCTTCGTGCGCTTCATCAGTGGTGTTACCAAGACGCGCGAGCTCGCCGAGCAGGAGAAACAACAGGGAGAGGTCATAAACGACCCTGCATTGAAGGGCGTTAACCTGCAACCCAACAAGACCGACGAGGTCATGGAGAAGGCCGAGCACCAAGCGCAGAAATCAATTCGGCACGGCGCACACGAGGATGATGTGCCCGAGCGCGCCATCCACCCGGCCCGTAGCCCTTCGGCGGAAAGAGGTGAGCCTCACGGGAGCATTCTACCTGTCGTTGAGGAGGTCGGCGAGTCCGGAAGCGTCGGCGGCCGCAGCGCCCGCAGTCACGAAGCATCTCCTCATCTGCGTCCGAGCTCCGAGCTGCCCATCAGGCCACCCCCTACGCCTCCCAAGGACAGCAGGGATGAGGATCAGCGGCCGCCTACTCCTCCCAAGGACGGCCGGTACCAGCCGCAGGGCTCGCCACCCACGCCGCCGAAGGAAGAGCGCGGCCGTTCCCAGGATAAGACACTCCCGATTCCGCCGCCGAACTTTGCCAGCACCTTCACCCGAAGCCCGTCCCGGATGAAACCAGTGGACATGGAGGAGAGAGTCGCAAGAGTGGATGCGCGGGTCAACTAAAGTGGCCACTTTTTCTGATTGCCAAGTCGGCATTCGCTTGCTGCCATTGCTGCTGCTGGAGATACCCTAATCTGCTTGGACCGCTGCTTTGCCCCGGTCTGAAAAATAATCTGTTGTTGGGATAACCACAACACAACTCGCTCACTCCATTTCCTTTGTGTTTTTCCTTTGGCGTCTTGTCATGTTTTGAGGTCGCTTTTTTCATTCTCTTTCTTCCTCGCTCTGAAAAATCCCCGTCTCCGCCCCATCCTCCCGCATGGGGAGGAAATACGGAAGAGTCAGGTGGGGAAGAGAGAAGCAAAAGAAAGGAGACCAACAAGAGATGGGGTGAGGCGGGGCGGGGGTGCAGTTGAGTCCCGTGTGAAGTCGATCTGTTTGCACTACGTCACGGCCTTCTAATCTGCTGCTGCTGCTGCCTCCTTTGTCTTCTCTTTTCTGGAAATGACCCAGACATGAGCATCATGCAATCCTTGTATCACATCATTTTTCATCGTCATTGTTGTCGCTGTCATCATCATGGGAATTGGGGAAAGAAAGAAGCCCGAAAAGCCAAATACCAAAACTACGTCTTCGTATGGAGCATCCAGGGATTGATCCATACGCACATACACCACACCACAACCATCTATCCATTCAGACACTCTTTCCTATGTCAGGTCTCCTAATCCTGTCTTTTGATTGTCTCGTCTTCGGCTCTCGCCGCCTTCTCTTCTTTGCTTGATCGTACAAGGGGGAGCACTGACTACCTCTTGATATCGCCAAGCCCCCGTTTTCTTCTCTCGTGTGGGTTGTGCTGCTTCGTAGTGTTGCTGTTAACGCATGATACCACGGCGTTTTTCTCTCTTAGTTCATCTCACTACCTTTCTTCGCTTTATATATATCACTTGTTTTCCGTCTCTCTCCTCTTCACCTCCTGGACTTGTGCGAAGAAATAAAAAGGCCGCGACAACACATTCGGTCGTGCCTCCGTCTTGATTAACTGTCTGGACTACAATTCGATTCGATAATCGAGAGTCCTTTCCGCAATTTCTGGCTTTTTCTCGCTGCTTGGGAGTATTCTTCTGTTGTTAGCGTTTCCCTGTTCTTCCTTCTGACCAGTCGGTTGTTTTGTTTTCCTCTCGTTGTCTTTGTTGGAGGCGTAAACGTTGTCAATTTCGAAACCTGTTCTTCCGCTTGCCGCCGACATTGTGGGTTCAGCTTTGTGGTCCTCTCACTCTTCTTGTAAATATAGAGAGAAGAAAGGGAAAAGGACAGGAGCTCTTTCTCATGTGAACCATGGTTGATATTGTAATCTTTGCTATGGTTATGTGATTTCGATGCTGTGATTCTCGTTGATATGCTCTTGCGCTCCTGGCTGTACTAACGCAGCAACCACAGACGGACCTTTCCGTGTCGTAGTTGTGGGTAATTTGCTACAGACTCCTGAGAAAATGTTCAGATTTCCTGACAATCTAGAATTAGCGTGGCTGTCATTGGTAAACAAAACTTGATGCGCTTCAAAAGTCACCAGGTTCAGTGCTTTTGTTATATCACCCGTATTCGGTGTACTTGCCCGATGAGTATATCTTGCACAATATTTGTTTCTAAATGTATGCTCGACTGCGGGTTGTTTGGACGGTGTTCATTCACTGCGATGTATAGGCCTTCGAAGTATAGACTAGTCTTTCCTTGAATTATTATGGACAATCGTGGACATGCAACCTATGCTCGAGTATGCACGGTGGCCACTTGCTGCAGATCAGAAGCCAAGGGTGAGTCCGTACATGATGTTGGTTTTCCCTCATGCTCACGGATACTTCAATGTATATCGCGTCTTTCTCTTCCGCTGGCGACGTTTTCAAGCTCAAGGTTGTCAGGCTTTTGAGAACGATAACGATAGATGTCTATTTTTCGTAGCTAGAGTAAAATTGATTTACAGAGACTGCCAACCAAATATCAACACTTCATCTTAATACCTGCTCTCAGCTCTTCTTCTCTGATCTCAAACATGATCTGCACACCGACAAACAGCGCGCCGCACGCCAAAGCAAAAAAGGTCAATCCGGACGCTGACCCAAAAATGCCTCTGGCCAGTCCCTCCAGGCCGTCCAGCCCAACAGCAAAGCCAACCAAGTTCGCGGCCATCATGAAGAGAATCTGAGCAACAGCGCCGACTCCGCACAAGACGCGGTAGGCGTTGGGGCGGTTGGCCCATTTGCGCTTGGGGAAGAGGAGAGTGGCAATCATCTCAGGGGCGACAAAGAATGTGATGAGCCAGCCCCACATGAGCAGGCGTAGCTGGATGTCATGCCAAAGAGCGACGAAAGTGAAGATGGCGAGGTATGTGAGCATGACGGAGAAGATGCTGCGTCCGTGGCCACTACCGCCCAAGGGGATGAATATGTAGCGGATCAGCCAGCGGTTGTAGCTACGGTGCCAGCCACGCCAAAAGCCGGATATGCTATAGTTGTTGCTCATGCAGCGAACCATATTCTCAGGGGGGTCAACGTTGTCAAGGAGGGCCCACAGGCGGAAGAAGCGCCATGGAAGAAGCAGCTTTAGCCAAATGTGGTGCAGGTTGAAAAACCCAAGCATGCTGAGCTGGAAAGGTGTGTAGGCGTCCCAATCAGGCTGGACATGGAAGATTGCAACGGCATAGATGTAGTGAATGATGACCTCCATGGCAAGGAGGGCCAGGAGGAAGCGGATGGCATAGCGAGTATTGCGTTCACGCGTGATACTCGGCACACAATAACGCTGTTGGGAAATATAGTCATTGAAGGTGAGAATCGGGCCGGCATTGTAAAGAGGGGAATACAAAGCATATGCCACATAGTTGCGGAATGTGTAATCAGTTGGCTTTGCGGGAGTGGAGACTCGGTCGCGCTCGGATAGGTTGGAAGGATCGAGTTGTTTCTTCTTTTGCTTGTGAGCAGCGTGCACTGGTTGCGGCTGTGTTGCGAGATGCTTACCTCAATGGGACTTCCACCCTGCATATTCAAGCTCCAGTAGTAGTCCATGCTGAAACTAATCAAGCGAAGAACGGTAATGTTGAAAAGGACCTCCCAGCGCGGGTTCAGCCCTCCGCAACTGTCTAGCCATTCTCCCCACGTGCCCGAGCCGTCGCCGCCATGGATGAAGGCGGCAATATGTTTGAAGGGGTAACCCCGGAAGACCTCATTCGAGAACAAAGTGCAGATGTTGAATATCCACGCAGCAGCCGGAACGTAGCTTCGGGGCAAGGTGGTGGTGATTTTGTAATTGAGATAGAGGATCAGCAGGACCTTGGCTGCCGAGAAGCCATGCAGGGCAGATATGAAGACGATAGCAAAGCCAAAGTCAAAAGAAACGCGTTGTTCCAGCCTCGCATCGGCGGCAGCAAATGCCGTCAATCCTTGTGTAAGTTGGTGTCCGCCGGGGGTCGAGCCGGGCCGGACCTGGGTGTATGAGTCGGCGCGGCAAAGGTAATCGTAGGTTTTGCGGAGGATAGGGTGAACGAGAGCTATGACGAAGAGATAGGGGAGGTTGTCGCGGAAGGATGCGTACTGGCCGTCGGAATTGTCCTGTGGTTTTAATTAGTACGGGGGCAGCCGCGCAAAGTCACACCAGAACGTACCACTTTCCGGCCAGGTATCCAGCCGTCAGACAGGAGAGGCTCGATTTTGGGGTAATTGGGGTGCGAAGCTGGAGGGAGTCAGCTTCTGGGACCGGGTCGCAGAGAAGACAGCGCAGCACCTTTGGAGACATAGTAGACGACATAAAACATGGACGGTATGGCGGTCAAGAAGACCAAGTAGTAGAAGTAGAATTCGAGAGTGCCCCATCTGGACGGCTGCGAGCCGGCGGCTCTCGACGCCTTGGCTTCATTGGGCGTGGGTTTCGCAGGGTCGATAGCTGGCTCGGCGGCAGGCTGCTTCGGAGGCGTGCCCGAGGAGGTGGTGAAGCGGGTGTCAAGGGTGTCGAGCGAGTACAGGCGGCGCAGAAAACCGAGCAACGCCATGGCGGAACTGGCTATAGCATGGCAGAGGGAGAGGAACGAGCGACTGGAGGCACGACGAGCACGAGAGGAGTGGTGATGGCAGACAGCCGAGGAGCTTAAGTTCGCGGAGGAGCCCCGTGCGCCACCGCCAGGAACGAGACGATCGCTCGCGTCGCTGAGCTCCATCGCGACCACCCACCCACCCGCCGCCCACGCTGCTTCTGCCTCAACCCCGCTGGCCCTCCCCCGCCCGCTCGTGCATCTCGCGCCCCGAATACACGCGATCCACGCGCCCCCTGCGGCGCCCCAGCCTGCTCCACCATGGCGCTGCCCAGCTCCCAGCTGCCGGCCACCAACGAGTATGCCGGAGGTGAGCTCCAATTGCACCCGCGCGCCCGCAGCCTTACTGACGCCCGCGTGCAGACGAGGTCTCTGCCATCATCCTTGACCCCGGCTACTCGACCACGCGCGCCGGATTCGCCGGCGAGGACGTGCCCAAGTCCGTCATTCCGACTTTCTACGGCGTGCGCGAAGCCGAGTCGAACCCAATCTTCGGCGAGAACGCGATCCACAACCCCCTGTCGAACCTCGAGATCCGGAACCCCTGGTCCACCGACGGCATTGTTGAGGACTGGGAAACCGCAACCAAGCTATGGGAGTACTCCATCACCTCGCGCCTGACCGGCACCAAGGAGCAGAATCCGGCCAGGAACGGCCTGAACGACGCCTCGAACGGCGACATGGACGTCGAGATGGAGGCTCAGGCCGAGACGGAGAAGCCGCTGGAAGGCTCGCCCCTGCTCATGACGGAGCCGGGCTGGGCCACCACAAAGCACCGCGAGAAGTGCATCGAGGTTGCCATGGAGGAGTGGGGCGCGCCTGCATTCTACATACAGAAGACCGGAGTTCTGGCGGCGTACGCATGCACCCCGCTGCCGCCATGAGATCAGTGTGCTGACCGTCATCAGATTCGCATCGGGAAAGCCGTCGGCACTGGTCATTGACGTCGGTGCTGCCACGACTTCCGTCACCCCGGTCATCGATGGCATGGTGATCAAGAAGGGTACGTCGGTAGCCTCAAGCGAGAGCGGCATTGCAATTGACTTGTTGTTTAGGCGTTGTCAAGTCTCCACTTGCTGGCAACTTCGTCTCCAACCAAATACGCTTGGTGTTCCAGCAATCCCAACCTCCCATTCCGCTAACGCCCCACTACATGGTGACGTCCAAGACTCCCGTAGAAGCCGGTGCTGCTGCTCAAGCTATCTACAAGAAGTTCGACAAGGAGCCAACTGCATCATTCCGTAGGCTGGAAGAGGAGCGTGTGCTTACTGAATTCAAAGAGTCGGTGGTGCAGGTGTGGACCGGCGGAAAGTTCAGTGGCAACGCCGACGAAGTGTACAGCAATAGTCCAGGCAGGCCCTTCGAGATGCCCGACGGATGGAACCAAGTGTTCCGTGCTGAACGGTTCAAGGCGGTCGAAGGCCTGTTCGACGCCAAGGCGGCGCTGATGGTACGTGTCGGACTGAGTCTCGCCGGCTTGCAAATGGGCTAACTTGAGTGGAAATAGGATGCGGAAAACCCTAGGCCACGCGATGACCAGACGATTCCGCAGCTGGTAGTGCAAGCTCTCAGCCACGTCGACGTCGAGATGCGGCCCGCTCTTCTGGCCAACATCGTCGTCACCGGTGGGTCGTCTTTGATAGTCGGCTTCAACGACCGGCTCAACCAGGAGCTTGCCCAGATTTACCCCGGCCCAAGGATCAGGCTGCAGGCACCAGGCAACACTGTAGAGCGCAAGTATGCTAGCTGGATTGGCGGCAGCATCCTTGGCAGCTTGGGCAGCTTCCACCAGGTAAGACTTTCTCTTGGCGTGTCGATTATCGCGATGCTGACAGCGATGGCAGCTCTGGGTCAGCAAGAAGGAATACGACGAACATGGTGCTGGCATTGTGGAGAAGCGTTGCAAGTAAGGCTATTTCCCAGATCTTGAATTGATGCAGTGCGGACAAAAAAAATGGAGAGGGGAAGAAGACATGATGGCTCAAGTCGGCACAGCCAAAGCTGAAGAGCGCACGTAGAGGGCGGCCAGGCTGAGATATGACCATGATGCGTCGGATTGAACTGCGAGATAAACGGAGGAAAAGGACAGGCAATTTGTGGGCTTAGACGAAATTATCAGCATTCTGCAAAAATGCAAAGATGGCGCTCGCGTCGCGTCCCATGGACCCTGCGTGACGTCGGGGCGGCGCGCCAAGACGCGGCCGTGCGCGTCGTGTGTTTACCTACAGCCAGGTGTTTTGGCTGCATGCGACGACTCCATCCAGCCCTCCCCACGTCCCCATTGCACAATGTCGGCTGCACGACCCTCCAGGCGAGCGGCTGCGCGCCGCCAGACCATTGTCGAGTCCTCCGATTCCGACGAGCCCGCTGTTGAGCAACAGGACAGCGATGAGGAAGAGTTCACGCCCGCACCTGAGCCGGCTCCGCCCAAGAGCGCGCGTCGCCGCACTGCAGTGAGGCGCGATAGCGATGATGTAGAATTCACCCCGGCCCCCAAGAGCGCCCGCCGCCGCAAAGCTTCGGAAGTGCCCATCACCCCGCGTACAGTTCCCTCCAAGAAGGGCAAGACACGAGCCAGCGAGTCCGTCGAGCCCAGCGTCGCACCCAGCCCCGCCGAGAGCGCTGCCACCAGCGTCGTCGGCGACGACGACGACGACGAACACGAGGCACGCAAGCCGCCGAGGAAGATTGCTGCTACGCGCCGAGGCCGCCGCAATGTTCGCGAGAGCCGCAAAAGCAGAGCCTCCGTCGCTCCCGATGTAATACAACAATTCCCTCCCCTTTCCGCGTCCCGGTCCACGGCCGAAGGCCCGTTGACGATGCGTCTTGCGGAAAATGCTAAATCGCCCCAAAAGGAGCAGGATTCCGAGCACGAATTGCGCCACAAATCGCCTCTCTCCGATATCACAAACGACGCCGATAAGTCTTTTAACAGAATGAAAGCCTCAGAACCGGATGCTACGCCCCGCCCGAAGTCCCCACAGCCTTTCGACCCGGGCAACGTTGAGAACTCGACCGCGAAGAGCCCCACGCCCACTCCGCAAGAGAAGACACCAGCGCCCGAAGAAAAGACCCCGGTCCCTGAGGAGAAGACGCCAGTGCCTGAGCAGAAGATTCCAGCGCCCGAGCAGAAAACACCCGCGCCTGAAGAGAAGACACCAACGGGTCCCACTCCTCGTACTGTTACACGGGTTGACGCCATGGATACACTACTGGAGAGACCGATGGACATTGTGGCCAAGGCTAGAGCAGCTGCACAGCCCCTAACACAAGAGCCAGAGCCTCCAAAGTCGCGCATCTGCATCACGTGGCTGAAACTTACCAACTTCAAGAGTTACGCAGGCAGACAGGAAGTCGGACCATTCCACGCCTCGTTTTCCTCCGTCGTCGGCCCCAATGGCTCCGGAAAGTCCAATGTCATCGACTCTCTTCTTTTCGTGTTTGGTTTCAGGGCCAGCAAGATGAGACAAGGCAAACTCTCAGCCTTGATCCACAATTCAGCCCAGTTCCCAAATCTGGACTACTGTGAGGTCGAAGTTCACTTTCAAGAAGTGAAGGATCTGCCTGAGGGGGGCCACGAAGTCATTCCAGACTTCAATCTGGTCATATCTCGCAGAGCTTTCAAGAACAACTCGAGCAAGTATTACATCAACGGCAAAGAGTCTAATTATACCGTCGTTACCACGCTGCTGCGCGATCGCGGCGTTGACCTTGACCATAAGCGTTTCCTAATCCTGCAAGGTGAAGTCGAGTCCATCGCACAGATGAAGCCCAAGGCCGCGAACGAGCATGACGATGGTCTGTTGGAATATCTCGAGGATATTATTGGCACGTCAAAGTACAAGACGCCCATCGAGGAGTCTGCTGCCCAAGTCGAGACGCTCAACGAGGTTTGCCAAGAGAAAAACAACAGAGTCCAGCACGTTGAGAAGGAGAAGGACAGCCTTGAGGACAAGAAGAACAAGGCCTTGGCGTACATTCGTGATGAGAACGAGCTTGCAAGCAAGCAATCTGCCCTGTACCAGATCTTCATCAACGACACAAATGACAACATCCAAGTTGCACAGGAAGCCATCAACGAGGCGCAAGCCTCGCTCAATGAGGAGCTGGAGAGGCACAAGGGAAGTGAGGAGGAGATCAAAGAGCTTGAAAAGCAATACAAGACGGGCTCGAAGCAGTACAACGCGCTCGACAAGCAGACCCAGGAATTTTTGAAGGAGTTGGCGAAGCTGGATAAGGAGACGGTCAAATTCGAGGAAAAGAAGAAATTCTTGACCAACAAGGAGAAGAAGCTCCAGAAGACCCTCGAGACCAGCAAATTCGGCATTTCGGAAGCGGAAAGCACCATGAAAAAGTGCGCCGACGATATCGAACGAAACACGGTAGAGATCGCGGAGCTTGAGGAGAAGATGCGTGCAGAGGAAAAAGAACTGAACTCAATCCGAGAGAGCCTGAAGGGAAAGACTCAGAGTATTTCGGATGAGATTGCCAAGAAACAAAAGTCCTTGGAGCCCTGGAATGCGAAAATCAATGAGCAGCAGTCAGCCATGGCTGTTGCGCAGAGTGAGCTGGACATTCTGCGGGAGAAAGAAAACGAGGGCGCAAAGAAGATCGCGGACACGGAGGCCAGAATCGCCGGCCTGGAGGAGCAAAAGGCCACGAAGCTGAGTGAGCTTGAAGAATGTGAATCCGAGAAACGCAATACAGAAAAGGAGATCAAGAACATCCAGAAGGAGATGGCAGTCCTTGGCCAGGAGGAGCCCAAAGTCCGCTCCAAGCTGTCCAGCGCCCGGCAGAAGGCCGACGAAGCAAGATCCAGTCTTTCTGCAACTCAGTCTCAGGGGAACGTCCTCACAGGGCTTACGCGCCTGCAGGAGTCTGGTAGAATCAAGGGTTTTCATGGTCGGCTTGGCAATTTGGGCACGATTGACCAAAAGTACGACGTTGCTATCTCGACCGCTTGCCCGGCGCTGAATAACCTCGTGGTCGATTCAGTCGAGGTTGGCCAACAGTGCATCGAATACCTTCGCAAGAACAACCTTGGGCGTGCGAACTTCATCTTGCTTGACAGGCTTCCGCAACGGGATCTTTCGGAGATCAATACACCCGAGAATGTTCCTAGGCTTTTCGACCTGGTTCGGTCAAAGCACGATAAGTTCAAACCTGCTTTTTACAGCGTCATGCAGAACACGCTTGTTGCACGCGATCTTCAGCAGGCGAATCGGATTGCGTACGGAGCCAAGAGATGGCGCGTCGTGACACTCGACGGCCAGCTTATTGACAAATCCGGTACCATGAGTGGAGGTGGTACTAGGGTCGCAAAGGGTGCCATGTCCTCGAAGTTGGCTGCCGACGTGACGAAGGAGCAGGTCGCCAAGCTAGAGGGAGACCGCGATGCAGTAGAGCAGCAGTTCTCCGATCTCCAGGGAGCACTGAGAGAGGGCGAGAGCATGTTACGAGGCCTTAATGACAAGATACCGAAGCTGGAGACGAAGGCTCAGAAGATTGCTCTGGAAGTTGAAAGCTACGACCGCAACATCGCCGATGCACAGCGACGCATCAAGGAGATTGCAGCCGAGCAGCAACCCTCCAAGTCCGACAAGGCTCGCATGACCAGTCTCGAGAAGAGTATCGCCAGCATGGAGAAGGAGGTGGCCAAACTTCACACGGAAACTTCGAGTGTTGAAGAGGAAATCAAAGCTCTTCAGGACAAAATCATGGAGATTGGCGGTATTAAGCTGCGTACGCAAAAGGCCAAGGTCGACGGCTTGAAAGAGCAGATCGACACGCTCAACGAGGAGATGTCTTCAGCAGAGGTGAACAGAGCGAAGGCTCAGAAGCAAAGAACAAAGCATGAGAAGGCTCTTGTGGAGGCGGAAAAGGAGCTCGAGAAGGCGACGGCTGAGATGGAGAAAGTGGAAGAAGACATGCGTGCTCAGAGACGGGATTCGGGTGGTTCGAGACAGCAGGCAGAGGAGGCGCAGGAGGCCCTTGAAGAGAAGAAGGAGGAATTGCAGGCTCTCAAGGCCGATCTGGATGCGAAGACTGCGGAGCTTAATGAGACGCGCGGTATCGAGATCGAGATGCGCAACCAGATCGAAGAACACCAAAAGACACTGAAGGAGAACCAGATGAAGCTGAAGCACTGGGAAGAGAAGCTCAGCAAGCTCTCCCTCACGAACGTCAGCGACCTGGGCGAGGAGCAAGAAGAAGTTGAGGCGCTGCCAACTTACACCAAGGACGAGCTCGAGGATATGGACAAAGGCCAACTCAAACGCGAGATAGCCGCGCTGGAGGAGAAGACACAGAACGTCCAGGTTGAGCTTGGTGTCCTTGGCGAATATCGGCGCCGTGTCGAGGAACATGCTGCTCGTAGCGCTGACCTCGCCACTGCCGTGACGGAGCGCGACGCTGCCAAAAAGCGGTGCGATGAGCTGCGTCGGCTGCGGCTGGAGGGCTTCATGGAAGGCTTCAGCACCATCTCGTTACGTCTCAAGGAGATGTACCAGATGATCACGATGGGCGGCAACGCCGAGCTGGAGCTCGTCGATTCGCTGGATCCCTTCTCGGAAGGCATATTGTTCAGCGTCATGCCGCCCAAGAAGAGCTGGAAGAACATTTCCAACCTTTCTGGTGGTGAAAAAACTCTTAGCAGTTTGGCTTTGGTGTTTGCACTTCACCACTACAAGCCAACGCCGCTCTACGTGATGGACGAGATTGACGCTGCTTTGGATTTCAGAAACGTAGGCTCATTCTCCCCGCCAGCAAATTCCATTCGACCTTACTAACGTGACGCAATGCAGGTTTCCATCGTCGCCAGCTACATCAAAGAGCGGACTAAGAACGCCCAGTTTGTGGTCATCTCGCTGCGAAACAACATGTTCGAGCTTGCGTCACGCTTGGTCGGCGTCTACAAGGTCAACCACATGGTAAGTGGCCAAGAGGACTTTCATTTGCATTACTGGAAGTACGTTTGGCTAACGCTGCGCGACGTACTCAGACGAAGAGTGTCACAGTCGAAAACAAAGATTACATCATTCCCATTAGAAGTTAAATTTCCTTTGGTTACGTGTTTTTCCGTTTGGAGTGGATTATTGGTTGGGTGTTCGGGACCGGCTGATGGCTGGTGGAAGCATGGGAATGCGGTGTTGGGTGCAACAAGGTGGTGAACGGCGTTTGGGCAAACCGGGAACGGAAGACGGCTGGGAGGGCAACGTGCCGACGTCATGACGCTGCTGTACATTGGGGGGGCAAGCGAGCAGGTACATGGCCTGGATTGATAGGCACTACGATTACGGTCTAAATGACAATACCAACTCCTGTGCTTCTAAGACATGCTTAGCAGAAAAATGAAGGCCTCCAAATGCGGGGTATATCTACAGTCGCCAAAGCAGCAAGCCCTTCCCGGGTCATGACTTCACTCGACGCAAGGCGGCGTCTCCATGTGCTCGTGGTAGTGCTGGCACATGCTCTTCACCCAGGGCTTGCAGCTGGCCAGCTTGGCGGCATCGTCGCCGCACAAGGCCTTGCCGGTGGCGACGCACGAGTTGCAGAAGGCGTAGCCGCAGGCCTCGCAGCGGTTGGCGCTCAGGCCGGGCTGCATGACGTCGCGGCAGGTCCAGCAGGCGCGGGTGGCGGACCAGGTGGCGGGCTTCCAGGCGACGAGGTCGTGGCGGCTGAGGCCCTGCAGCTCGGGCCGCTTGACGCGGACGACGAGCTCGCGCAGGAACTGCGGGTGCCACTCGTCCGGGTGCGAGGCCAGCAGGACGTCCGTCTTCTTGAAGGCGAACAGGTCGACGACGAGCTTGCGCAGCAGCGCCGTGTCGCGGATCTCGTCGTACAGCGTGACCGTGTCGCTGGGCGTGGGCACGCTGTTGCTCTTCTCGGCCAGCGCCGCCACGCGGTCGACGACGGCGTTGCGCAGCGACTCGACCGACAGCCGGTCCGCGAGCCCGTACAGCGACAGCAGCAGGTAGAAGGCCACCTTGCCGCCGCGCGTGAAGACGTCGTCGAGCTGGCCCGTGTAGGCCCACGACAGGAAGAGCTCGAACGTGGGCACGTCCTCGGCCGGCAGCGCCAGCTCCTGCGAGAGCCCTTCGGCGAAGGTGCCCGTGAGCGCCGCGGCAAAGAAGGGTGAGTGGTGCGTCAGGAGGTCGCGATGGACGAGGAACGGCGTTTCGGTGGTGCCGACGAGGATGGTGGAGATGATGGTGAAGGTCTTGAACTGAGTCCTGATGCTTCTCGTCAGCCTCCCCTTGCAGCATTCCTTCGGCAGGGAGCAACTCACCGTAGCGAGAATGGCCGGCTGCTCTTTGCGCGCGCCGCGCCCCTCAGCGCCAGCGGCGTTCGCGCTCGAGGCCTCTCGACTTCGGTCGCCATGATCAGGTCGTCGCCGAAAGCGCGACCCGCCGCAGTTGACGCGCCGTGTATCGTGGTGGATGCAGCTTGATGGTCGGAGAGGAATGCTACCGCTTTTCCTCGACCGTGAGAACCAGGCTCAAGCCGAAGGGAACAGGAGAAGATGGGAAGAGTACCAGGAAGAAAAGGAGAGAATGTAAATCGGAACCTTGCTGCTGGCAGTGACAGCTGCACACACACACATGCACGGCACAAACACACGCTCACGGAGGCTGCACGCCCGTTTAGCGGCTTGTCAATGGGCACGCGCTGTTGGTCAGTCAAGGAGGGGCAGGTGTCAAACGCAGGAGTGGGCAGAGGGCAGCGACGGCATTCGTCATTATAAGCTGCAAGGACAGCGGCGCTGCTCACCTGTTCGCGTCGCTGGGCATTTAGGTCCGGCGGCTGCGATTATTTGGCACGGAGCGACAAACTGTTCGCGTGGATGCCCCAGCCTTTCCTTTGTCGTCGCCCATGCTCGCCGTCCGGATGCGGAAGGTCGACACACTACATGCGCGCCCAAAGGCATTGAGAGGGCAAACACTTGACCAGGCAGCCAGCACCCTTCCATTGTTGAACACTCAGCTCCTCCCCGTCCATTGGCTGCGCTGCCGACACTGGGCCTGATGCCACCGCACGCCGCATATTCAATCGCATTGCTGGGCTAATCCAGAGCTTGTCAGTTTTCAATTTGACATTTTTCATGCCATTTACCGCCGGTCGGGCCTCGAGAAATCGGACCCTGTGCTACGTCCATCGTCGCCAACCAGCCGCCACGTTGAAACGCCAGCAAAAGGCCGCCGATGCGCACTGGACTGTTCACTATTTAGAGAGCATACAGAACCGAAGCTGGAACCCAGAGCCATAGACTTTTAACCTTAAACCCCAATTGCACGCAGTTCGCCGAAGGAAACAATAAACACGTCCGCCTAGATGCGGTGCTTCTCGCTCTCTGCAGTCTCGTGTTAGCAACGCGCTCCACGCTCCAGGGGTTTCACGCCGTCTTCTCACCGAGTCGAGAGTAGAGCATGTAGAGTGCCATCTGGTTGCACTCTTGCGTTCCTGTGATGGTGACTAGGCGCTCGTTGCTGTTGTCCTGCGGCTCGTTGATCTTGATGACACTGCCGCTGAGCTGCCTAATCTCGTTGATCTTGGCACCACCCTTACCAATGATGGCGCCCACCATGTCGTTCGGAATGAAAATCTGCTGCGTCATGGGCTGTCCAGGCATCATGCCTTGCATAGGCTGCGCCGGCTGGCCCGCATGGCCGGGCTGTGCAACGTGAGGGGCACCATACTGTTGAGGCTGGTGCGGTCCAGCACCCGTGTATGCGTGACGAGGCGATCCAGCGCCATAGTGAAGCGGTGCCTGCGGCTGCTGCGGATACTGACCGTGCATGGGCGCGCCGTAGCCAGCCGCCGGAGTCCTCTGCGCCTGTGGTCCCTTGCGGTGGAACGTGTCTGGCGGTCCCCACTGGCCGCCCGCAGGCTGGGGCACGTACGGCACCACCTGCATCCCACCGGGAACAACGCCAGCGGGTCCGCCACTACGAGTGGCATATGCCGAAGCTGCCGGTCCGCCAAATCTCTCGGTTAGCTGCTCCACCAGGGTGCTCCCAACATAGTACGTCGCGATGTGCACGGCATCAGCAACCCCGAGAACCACAAGAGACCGCTCGGTCGAAAGAGGAAGGCACGAATCCGAAGCATTGAGACGCGCGCCCGAGGCCTCTTGGATCTCGCGGATGCGCACACCAGACTTGCCAATGATGGAGCCAATGAGAATGTGGGGGATAAGCAGGCGGAGTGGATACGTCTTGGACTGGGGGGTCGAGGGCGAGTTAAGGTCCTCGTTGTTCAGCGTGCGGATAATCAAACCGAATGCCTGTGACTTGTGAGTACACGCCGTGCACGAAAGGAAGCGCGGATCCACTGACCTTTGCAACTGCATCTACAAGGCCGCTGACGGTCAAGATACGCTCAACGGCACCTCTCGAGTAGTCGCTGACGGTGCACTTAGCTCCTGACATGCGGCGGATCTGCGTAACATTCTCACCGCCCTTGCCAATGACGGTGGCGGCCTCGGCACTGGAAATGATGGCGCGGACGTGGAGCCAGTTCGACTCGTCCTGGTGGCCGCTGGAAGCGGGCTGGGCGGTCGAGGGACCATTGGCGGTCGAGGTCGACTGGATGGGCTGGGTGTCGGGGGCGGCAGAGGCCGCCGAGGTGGGAGCGTCAGGGACGACGGTGTCGCCCTGGCCGTCTTTGGTGCCATTCTGGGCAGCAGGCACGGGGGCTTCAGGCTCGCTCTTGGCCGACTCGGAAGGAGCGGAAGCGGTGGCAGGCTCAGGAGCGGAAGGGGCTTGCTCGGTCGATTCTTCCTTGACGACCTTGTCCAGCGCGGGCCGCTTCGCGTCGGGCTGGTCGCCGGGGCCCGAGGGGGACGAGGGCTCCTCCAGCGGGCGCTTCTGGCTGGGCGCCGTGGCAGTGGTGGGAGAGGCAGACATTGTTGCCCTGCTGTATCAAAGTAAAGGACGTCTCTTTCTCTTTCAGGCTCAGAGGACCAGATCGGGTCGTAAAGTTCTTCGTATTGCTCGAGTTACGTACAGCAGAGGGCTGTCGAAGGAAAACTTGCTGGAGGGCGGGTCGGCAAAGGGACTTCAGTGTGGTGTGGGCAGTCGCCGGGAGAATGGTGCAATGTGCGGGTGGCGGCGAGGAGAGGATGATCGGTTGGAAGGAGCTCGCTCAAGGGCGGGATTGAGAGGAGTGCCAGTGGTGGAGGAGCTTTGTGAGGGAGCGGTCTGGTGCAGGAGCTGGGGCCGAAGAAGACGAAGACTCAGTAAACGCGCCCGCCAAAGCAAACCTTGCAGCGTCGTCGCAGCTTCGCGCGTGAGCAGCAGCGCCCGGGCGAAGGTGTGTCGGGGGCCGGGCGATGGGGAGTGGCAATGGGAGTTGATGAAGGCGCGGCGGAAGGTGTGGCGGCGAGGGCAGGGAGAGGTTGCGATGGACGGGCAGGAACAGGAAGCGACGTAGAAGCTCGTCGACGTGTGGAGTGCGCCTAGGGCCGTCCGTGGGCTAGTGCAGCTGCCGCAGATCCGTCACGTGCAGCTCGTGTCGAGGACGGCATCGGCAGCGACACCAATGGACAGCTGTCTGGCAGCGGGGCTGCTGCTTTGTCCCGCGCCGCTGATGCTCTTGCCGGTGGCGGTGCTGGTGCTGGTGCTGGCCTGCTGTTGGTACTGATGATGCACCAGGCCCGCCGCCGCACTCGTCCACCTCCACGGGCACCGGCAGCCTTTCCATCTGCACAACACCCGCTCTCCTCGGCACCCGCGCGTGCGGCCAGGGCGCACACGAGGTTTGCAATCTCCTTAGACTCTGCTCTCCGTTGCCGAGCGACTCGTGCAGCCAGCCCCTTTGTCTGCTTGGGCGAGTGCGGTCCCGTGCCTGCGCGACGCGTCCGCCATGGACCGCACCCGTCCCAGCACGCTCCCGCGCATCCAGCACTACGCCCCCCCGCCCGGCACCCAGATGGACCTGGATGCTCCGGACCATTCTGCCTTTGAAGCTCGCCTCACGCAAACCGTACGAGAGCTACAGGAACGCGTCGAGCAGCAGCAGCATGCGCTGCACGAGGTACACATGCGCGCTCTTTACGTCTGCCATTGCTCACTTCCTTCACAGCTCCGCGCTTCCGCACGCCAGCCCGCGCTCCACGCGCCTTCTGCGGATGCCCGGGAACGCCTCCGGCAACTAAGGGCTTTGCAGAACGCGTACGAGCGCCTAACCCCTGCAGAGCCGTATCTTCCTGGCGCAACATCAGTCCTGCCGGCTCTCCTTGCAACAGACATCACCCAGACATGCATCTCCGAGACCAGAGACGCTCTCACCATCTCACGTGCGAAACTCGAGGCTGCACAGAGAGAGCTCGACCGAGAAGAAAGCGGCCTCCGAGATGCGAATGCCATCACCCAAAGCTTGGAGGCACGTGTCGGCGTGCTCCAATCTCAGCGCCAGGAGCGGGCGGCCAAAACAGCGCCGCAGCTCGCCAAGGAATTACTGACATCAACACGCAAACGGCAGCAGAAATACGATGTCGAGAGTCGACGGCTTCAGTCTGCCCTCGAGAGTTTCGTCGAGGAGCACCTGGCCACTCTGGTCGCTGCCGAGGAGCTTGGCGGGCCCGTGGTGGGCGAGCTTATGGACGTTGATGACGAAATGTTGTCCGCAGGCTTCTCTCATCAAGGCAAGCCAAAGCCATTGAAGCAGGGGAAGGCGGCCGTGGACAGGCGACAAATGCGAATCGACAAGATCTGGGGTACAGCCGGCGCGAGCAACGACGAGCCTCTGGGCGAGAAAGATGCTGCCGCCACGGAAATTAGGTTGCTGGTTGAAGAGCTTTTGCGCGCGTTGTTGGGCGAGAGTAACGGCGGAGAATACGTTCAGCTGAGCAGAGACTCTGCAGCCGCCCGCTTCTTGGTCCGCGCAAAGGTTGCGCAATTCCACCCAAAAGACGCAAGGAAGCTTAGATTGGTCGATTTCGGTCGGGACTTGGACGTATGAATTGAAGAGCACGGTTGTGTTGGACCACGCCCTTCATCCGTTGTGTTTTTTTTTTTAAAAAAAAAAAGTGCCCGAGCACCGTTAGCCACGACAATTTACTGGCACTATCATATTTACGTAGCTAATATCTTCGATGTGACAAAATCCATCTGCTGGCAGCATTTCTTAATCGGCCTGTGCACTTTCGATGATGTGAAGGCAGCTTGCGCGGGGCCATGGAGCCCTATGTCCTAACGCGGACTAGCTCAATTTCACTAGCGCGCACAACTGAACGTTTGGCGAGCGAAACTACACACGTTCAGCCCGATAACGACGACATCGAAAGCCATACCCACGACGCTGCACCAGGAAATCAGTCGCCATGGCCAGTAAGTGCGGCGCACACAGCTACTTCTCTGTCGATGCTGACATGCCGCTCCTCAGAGTCCAAGAACTCGTCTCAGCACAACCAGTCTAAGAAGGCTCACCGTAACGGGTACGCATCACCTCCAGCCGCCTGGCCATCCTGTCCCGATACTCGGCAACCGTCCTACGCGCGACTCTCTGGCCATCGAATGCAACTGAACATGTTCTGACACGTCGCGCGAAACAGTATCAAGAAGCCTAAGACCCACCGCTACCCGTCGCTCAAGGGTGTCGACCCCAAGTTCAGGAGGAACCACAGGCACGCGCTTCACGGCACCATGAGGGCGCTGGTGCGTTTTCCCCCCCGGCGTCCTGTTAGACCCGTGAGAATTTTTGGCTGATATCAGTGGCAAAATACAGAAGGAGGTCAAGGAGGGCAAGCGCGAGTCGGCATAAACAAGGTGCAGCAATGTCCGGGGACGGGTTTTACGGCATAAAAGTCTTAAAAACGACTGGCATGGATTGAGCTGGTCGCATTGATGCAGCCTTTACACGGGGAAATGGAAAACGGCTTTTCGATCCCGACCGATGCACGCTTCTTTTTCCTCTGCGCCGAGCAGACTTTTCGCCGTCTCTTGCTGAACCGGTGACAGGTGGCACGAGCCGCCGACCTTTCTGAATGGTACCTTGAGTTCTCTCCGTTTGACATACACGTACGGCATTAGTGTGTACAGCCCCGCGCTCTACCCATGCGCGAATGCTGAAGGATTATTTTCGTGCCGAGATCACCTGCCCTTTCATTACCAAACATCCGGCTTCTTTCCCCATGGAGTTTGGATGCATGGAGAAAGGGCAACATATCCCTGTGAATTCTAGTCAAAACAGTTCCCGCTATAGTTTTGGTGTAATATGCTGATCGTTCGGGAAGTTCAATCGGCTGCTAGACACGCTGAAAATAAATGTTATTCCTTTACTTGGGCGTGCCCGCGGAGACAATCCGACGAATATCGCATCTCAGGTCCAGCTCTGCAAGCGATTGTTTGCTTACACGTACCCTAAGTAATGTTTGCATCATCCCAAGACATTTCTCTTTGACTTCGATTGATATTCCATGTGTTGCTGCCGCGTTTGAACCAGGACATAGCAATCAATCTCCATCGATGCAGGAACAATATCACGGTCAGAAGTTCTTAGCCACGGGCGAAATCCTATTTCCAATCCGAAGCTCTAGGCGTGCGACAGGGCCAGTATTTCAACCGAAGACGGGTGAGCGCGGGAACCGGGCACCAACCTCAACCACCTCGATTTCTTTGCGATGTCAGGCGCGCCAACCTTGAATGCAGTAAGCAGCCAGATGCACATTACCTATTGCCTAGCGGTAGTGAATTCCAACAGTTTGGACAGTGTTACTTCGATACCGGTGTACAAGGTTCTAGATCGATGTTCCTTTACCCATGACAAACTTGGTTAGAATCTGTCTTGGCCCCAACTTTCTTTCATCTACGGTCATTCATAAAAAATGCTACAAAGCTTCTTGAAAGTGCGTGTCCTATCGGAGACATTCCTCGGGCTTCTTCGCAAAGCAGATTATACATGCTCTGCAGATATCACCGTGGCTTGATTAATTCACCTGTACCCTGGTTGTTAATCAAATCTCACTAGGCAGTGCTACATCTCCGCTTAAAGTGCACGCCAATAAAGACTTAGTTAAGGAAAGATAGGTGCAGCGCAAGAATCACCATCCCTCAAGGATGATTCAGGACACCGGAGCCCAGAGCGCGGATATCACATACGATTGAGATGTTTGTAATATGCACACAGGATTGGACTGTTTGCGCTACTCTCATGATAGCTGCGATGTCCAAATACAAAGGGTCCAGCGGTGTCCCCACGAGTTAAGCCGAAAATAGGTGAATGAGAATAGCTGTGTCTCAGTTACGTATGTGCATCGTTCTGTGGCTGCGGCTTCCTCTTTCGCTTGCAGCGCGCCTTCCGTAGTCGCATTCAATGAACGACAACACCGCGGCAGCGCCTTCGACAATCCACAACCTCGACACCTGCGTCTCCCGGTTTCGCCGATAACCAAACCATGGCGGACTTACAGAACTGGATGCGCAAAACGATCCAGCCCGTTCGAACACGTACTCCGACGTTCCCTCTCACCTCCGAAGAGCGCCGCAACACTGTTGACTCCAGCTCTCTCTCCGAGTCCGGCACCCCACGAAGACGTTCTGGCCCGCGCAAGAAGATATCTTCATACTTCTCCCACAGGCCGAGCAAGCTCCTTGACGATCCTACTACAGAAATCTGGTCCCCAGATGGCACCGCTGATGACGCTCTGTCACCCGACATCCGCACCATGATCGATGCAATCTTCATCAAGCTCTGCAACCAGCCATTTGACGGCCTGCCGGCGCAGATGAACAGTTCTGTCCTGCATGTGATCGAGGCATATAGGAACTTGAGTGTGGAGAAAGAACAGCTTGAAGAACAGCTCGAGGAGGTAGGAAGCAGGCTAGAGGAAGCTGAAAAAAGACGGGAGGAGGAAGAAAAGGACTTCCGCGCGGAAATCAAGCGCCTGGAACTTATCATTGCCAAAGGGAAGAACGGCATGTCGCGGTTAATGGCCTCTCGTCAGGACAGCGTTGTCAGCCGAAAGAAGGGCTACAGGAACCAAGTGGGCTTGAGCACGCCAGCCACCAGAGGAACAGATGTCATGCAAAAGCAGCAGGTAAAGTCAAAGAAAGTCCAACGAGGTAAGATACCACTCATATCGAATCCTGCTGGAGAACAACGCTGAACGGATATCTCCCTTAGCACCGTCTATGTCACCGTCAAGCAAGGAAAGAGCACTCTCAATCCAACTCTTCTCGATTGTCAATCGCGATATTCCGGTGGGTACACCTCCGCTGGCGAATGTCTCGAATGCACTTGAAAAGGTTTCCGCTTTTCCGGGTGGCTCTCAAGGACCTATATCCCAAGGACAACCCTCAGCTTCAGAAGAAAGCGGTTTGCGTGATTCCAGAGAAGCGACCAACATCACTGGGGGTGCCGTCCCTTGCGATCATAACGAGCCAGGCACGGTACCGGAGAGTGATACAGCTAGGGATCTCCAGGCCATCAAACAGATGGCATCTGCAATCGCAACCAACCGAGGTTTGAGGGCAGAACAGATCCTACCTAAGCTCATTGAGTTGTTCGACAATGCAGAGGAACACCTGGGGATTCCCTCGGTGGAAGCGATGCAGAGAACTCCGACAGGGCCCCAGATTCGCAGACCACCATCATGGATCCCCAACGATGATGCTGCCGGTTGGAAAGATCCACGCACAATTCCTGCAATCAGACCGCCTCTCAAGACCATTGATAGCTTCGCGTCGTCTCGCTGCGATGCCATGAGTGACCTGTCAGCAAGCAGTTCAGAAGAATGTGGAGGTGAACGCGGTGTAAGAAGGCCTTCTAAGATCCCCAGCCCTACGCATGATAAAGGATTGGCGCGTTCACGCCAGGAGCAGCGGTCTAGCGTTGTGACGGTGGTGGCTGGCCCTGGTCGTTCAGAGGCAGAAATGCTCTCGTCCAGTACAAGCTCCCGCAGGACGGCATTCCGTAACAGTGCGGAGCGCCTCGAGGCGAACAACAACTTGTTGGCTCGGCAGATGTCGCAAAAGAGTAGCCGTCGTTCTCTTTCGGCGTCAGCAGCGCAAGGTGGAGCCACGTCGTCTCCTGACGCTGTAGCGGCAAAGTCAACAACAGCAATACCCAAGTAAAGCTCACCGCCGCCAGCCTCGGGCCGGACCAGCGGTCAACTGCTGCTAAAGCAACGGACTAATCAGGTAGACAGCGCCGCAAACCTTGCGGGTGCCGGGGCGGCCAGAAGCTCAGAGACCACAGTTAGCCGCATTGACCCAGTCAAGGATGGCGCGCGCCAGCCAGCCTTCCAAAAACGCAGCGGGTAGCAAATGAGGGAGCACGGGATTGGAGTCAGACGGAAAGCGGAAGCAGAGGATGCGTTGCAGCGGGTAGACGGTCTGTTTGGGCGTGCCGGCGTGCCGGGAGCTTCATTTGAGCTTCTGAGGTTGAGGCAGACCTGAAGGCCGTGGCATCACGCGTCGGAGATGAGGCAGAAAACAGCGATGGGCATCGCGATCGATCGCGATCGTGCCGGCGCGAGTAAGGAAAATAAAAAAGAAACAACGGACAACTGTCCCAGAAGCCTCGGCGAAAAGCAACGCCGGCTAGTGAGCTCCTCTGTAGTCCAAAGGATTGGGTGGTAATGCGCTCGATTGGGCGAGGCGCGATTATGCCGCGCAGCGGTAATCTGATGGTGAAGTGAGCACCGCACGGCGGGGGAAATGAGCGGCGCTGCGGCGCTGACGCAGGTTAGCACAGTCGTACAGGCCGGCCCAAAGCGGGCACGGCGAACGGTAAAATACACGCCAAGCTGCTTACGCTGACGCTTGAGGCGGCGGCGGACTGACGGCTAATCCTGCCAGCGCCAATCGCACTCCGCCTCGCACACACACTCCGCTCGAAATTGCAGGAACCTCCCCACGCGCGCGCGCCGGGCTCCATGCTCCAGCCTTCACCGCGCCCTCGACGCAAAGCAACGAGCACGCGCGCGGTGGACACTCTCCACTGAGATTGCATCATGCCGAGACGTGGTGCCGGCCGCCGGGCGGGCGTCGAGTTACATCGCAGTCGAGTCGCATCGCCCCAGAGTCGCACAGCGGAACAGCAGCACCGCTCTTATGACGCCAGCTTCCGCTGCGCTGGCGCGGAGCTGCTGGGCAGCCCCAGGCTCAAGACTCTCGGCCGCTGCGAAAACGCGCGTCACGCCGTCCTCTGCACCGGCCGCAACGGGCGACGGATCGCCAGCGACCGTGATTTGCGGAACGGCCCCCGTCAGCTAGCAGCTGTGGCGCATGAAGGCCGCCGGCTTCTCACGCGCTTCGGCATGACTGCCTGTCGCGGCGGCCGACCTATGATGTGCGACAGCCCCGGCCCGCCGATTTGAGCGCACGCTGCAACGCGCCTGTGAGCGCCACGTCGAGAAGCGATCGCGCACCATGTCAGACAAACGGCCGGCCACGGCTGCCTTTCCAGCGAGCACTGGAGCCGCGGACTTCGCCGCCGCCTTCTTTCCCATCAGCCCAGCGCCGCATGCACCCGCACCCCCGTCCGTGTCGCCTTCGGGCAGCTCCCCCCCGCCGACGTTCTCATCTCGGCTGCCCTCCATCTCGCAAGCGACACGGCTGCCAGAGATCTGGCCGCATGCGCCACACCAGCTGGCCGCGGCGGGATGCGCCGTGGGGGACCCATGCCTCCCATCCCTTCACCACGCAGGGGAAGCAGCGCAGCCAGCGGCTTCAGGCACTCGCACGCATTCGACGGCTCCGGGACGTCATTCTCATCTCCGCACGGCAGCTGAGGCGCAGCCTGTGCTCCCGGCGCGCGATAGGACGGGGCAGCATGTGCGCCAGGAGGCAACCGGCCCCTGGAGCGTCACGTTGTCCGTGTGGCTGCTTGCTATCCGCCCGCGGGGGCCCAAACACGTTCCAGAGGCGAGTGGCACGCTGCAGTTTCATTCAGCGGCGATGCTGGTGTGCTGGGCGGCCGCGACGACGACGTGCTCCCCGCGCGGCCGTGCCCCCGCGCCCGCGCCTGTGCGCGCTGTCGCGCCCGGCGGGCGAGATTGGAAGGCCGGCGCGCGACAATAATCTGCAGGCGGCTAGACCACAGCGGCGCTGGGCAGCCGCAGCTAGGATCTAGGATGCTGTAGGGACGAGCGATCAGCGTCCGAGTTTTCGGGCGGTCGAGCGGCGGGCAGCGTGGCCGCGTCTCTGGAGTGAGGTCCCAGGCCTAGCCGGCGCGCGCGTGGTCCAGCGCACAGCCACGGGCCGGCTGAGGTATGACGCAGCGCAATGGGGCGTGTAGGGCTTGTCGCGCTTTCCCCCGACCCCGACGATTGACGCTCGCATCGTGATCTGCTGTTCCGGTGCGGTCACCTTCCTGGGCTCGTGCGCGCCGCTTCCTTCCCTCACCACCCTTGCAAGTGCTGGTCCACATGGCGTCGAAATAAACGGTTTTGCTTCATAAAAGACTGGCGCCTTTCGCTCGCATATGCGCGCCCGCCTTTTGCTCCCCGAACCGCATGGTGCCGTACCTGTAGTCAGCCACACGTACTAGGCGACCACGCACCGCCCACCGCCGCCGTTCCACACCTCAGCTACCACCTCGCCAGCCTCTCCTCCTTCATGCTCCTGGCACCCTGACTACACGCTCCGCCGAGCTCTCCAGACATGTTCCGCAATCGGTAAGCCATTTGCGCGTGCTCGCGCCAGCCTGCGCGTCGCGCTCCGGCCAGCCTGCTGACATCTCGCCCACGCGCAGGACCAATTCGCAAAAGCCGAATGATGAGCTGATCGCGAGCTTCAAAGCCTCCTTTCCGCAGCTCGGCGTCGGGTCTCGCGCGTCCGCGGCGCCGTCGCAAAACACCACGTCTGCTCTCGACTTGGCACTTCAGTATGTTGATCACCCGCCGTCGCGACTCAGTCGCTCAGATGCGCTAGCCGCTTCGCGCATCACCATCGCGCCTGCGCCGCATCTCCACCACCACGCGTCTTTGCTGACCACAACGCAGTCATTTTGGCGACTCCGAGGATGTAAAGGACCAGGATCCCACCCCTCGCGGTGCTGAGCAATGGCGCTTCACGCCTTCGCTCATGGATCCGAACAGCTTCGCCTTCGCCTCGTTCGCCAACCAGCCGCCGGGCTACTACACGCCCACGCCCGGCGGCACCAACACCATCTACCACAACCAGGCTGGCGACCTGCACACGCCCGGCTTTACCATGGGCCTGGGCACCCCGCTGTCCATGCCCACGTCCGAGGGCGCTCTCCAGGCCTCCCAGTCGACTGGACCCGCAATGCACGGCTTCCAGCCTCACCCCATCGCGCCTCTTCCCTTCCAGAACCCGAATCCTTTTGCCATGCCCCAGCAGATGTCCCAGGCCCAGTCGTTCGCGCCTCATCAATTCACCCATCAGCCCGCTCCCTTCGACCCCATGTCCCAGGCCGAGGAGCCGCAAATGGACGGCATACCCGTCGACATCGAGATGCAAGAGCGGTCACCAATGCTCAGCTTCGCTCAAGGATTCAGCGAGCAGCAGCGACCAAGCCTCCTCCAGCAGAACATTGAAAAGTAAGCTTCCTCCGGTCTCCATTCTAATAGTCAACCCCCGCTAAGCAAAGGCAGCTTCCGCTGGCATGTGACTCTGAATGCCCCCACCGCCATGATCAAGCATGCGGACGAGGTTCCGGTCACGTATCTCAACAAAGGCCAGGCCTATTCCATCGCAATCGTGGACACTTCGCCGGCTCCTCCCCAGATTGCTAGCGTTCCCGTCAAGTACCGGACGTACATTCGGATCTCCTTCGAGGATGAGCAGCAACGCCAGCGGCCAGCCGCATGCTGGCAGCTCTGGAAGGAGGGGCGTGGCACGAACGAAGCTCACCAGCGCGGTGGTCGTCTACAAGCAGTTGAATTCGTCGATCCAACTCAGGTCGGAGGCGGCGACGGCTCGACACGCCCTCGGGTGGAACTGGAGTCTGCATCTTTCGATGGCTTTTCCGTGACCTGGACGCCGGGTGCGAGTGCCAACGGTGTCGTGGAGTGCTCAGTCGCCGTTCGCTTCAACTTCCTCTCCACAGACTTCAGCCATTCCAAAGGTGTAAAGGGCATTCCTGTGAGGCTGTGCGCGAAAACCGAGCAGGTCGGCTCTCAGGCACCAGGCTTGGCTGATTCTCCCCAGCCGGAGATCTGCTACTGCAAAGTCAAGCTTTTCCGCGATCATGGAGCTGAGCGCAAGCTTTCCAACGATGTCACCCACGTCAAGAAGACAATCGACAAGCTGAAGCAGCAGATTGCGCAAGCAGAATCCGGCATGAAGGATTTTGGCAAGAGGAAAAGGGGATCGATCGCGAAGGCGGGCGCGAGTGCCAACGACCGGCCTGGAAAGGTTCCCAAGCACAAGCGGACTTGGTCCATGTCGTCTGCCAGCTCTACCGGAAACAGGCCTTCGGCGGAGGAAGACCTGCATTTGAAGCTCGCAACGCTCCAGGACATGTTCACGTCTACCAGACCCACGAGTATCCTGTACTTGAAGGGCGAAGAGTTCGACGATCCTGACCTTCACCCGGTGCATCTTTCGGGAGAACCGCAAGACCTCACCAAGGTCGAGACGGGAGATTCGACAATGTGGGACGGCCAGAGCAGAAACTCTTCGATCGTCTCACCTACGCCGAGCTCGCAGTCTGTCAATTCGGGCGAACGTCGCAGCTCGACGTTCCAATCCTTCCCTCCGCCGTCGCGTGTGTCCTCGAACGAATGGCGTAACATGTCGCAAACAGCGACCGGTGATATCAATTCACTGGCTGTCCAACCAACCCTGTCCAATAACCCAGTCAAGGTGCAGAAGGCGTCGGCGGATGGATCGATTGGTGGCTGGATTGACGCGCTTGGCGTTGATCTTTCCTACCAGCCACCACCGGAGCGAGCTATCAAACCCAGTAAGTCTATTTTTGCCCACCCCTGTTTGCCACAGGACTATGATCTGACAATTGGCAGTTGCATGCTTCTATGTGCAACCGAGATTTGTCGGGCGGCCACCGGAAGACAACTACTATCGGGCTGTGTATCTCATGCAGCGCACGCTCAAAGATCTGGTCAACGGCATTGCAATGAAGTGCAAACTCGAGCCGACTCGGGTGGTTCGTACCATCCGGATCAACGCAAAGGGCCTAGCGATCGCCCTGGACGACAGCGACGTCCTGGAAATGCCCGAAGGCCAAGACATGACGGCCGAGTTTCAGGAGATTCAGGCTGACTCACCGATGAAACGCGAATGGGACTCGGGACCGACCGACGTGCAAGTCGACGGTGAGGTCGGCGCAACCGAGACGACGACGACGTCTGGCTACGAGCTTCGCCTTCTCTTCTGAAATGCGCGAGTCGCGCACGCGTACACTCGTTTCCCAAGGCTAATGATTGGTTATGAGCTGTAAATTTCGTCATGGCGCGAGCGCTGGTCGGAAGCGCTTTAGGGACATGTATCTGCACCCACGGGCGTTTGTTTGGCTTGAGATACCACTTGGATCGCCCACATTTGCGATTTCTTCGGATACCCACTACTTAATTTTTTTTTTACTGGTAACGACGGCGGCTTCAGGAGCTTCTATCTATAGCGCCTCGGGCGCGATGGCTGAGATTGCTCTCGATCTCCCTTTGTGTTTTTGTTCCACGTTGATGTATTCTGCGTTGCACGCTGCTCCTGTAATCTTTTCTTTTCGTCGCGGGCCTTGCACGGCGCGCTTGCTTCTTTACACGAAAGAAGATACCCATTTAGCTTGAATTATGCTTCATGTAATAATGCTCGCATGGCAGGGGTTCGGGGAGGGCGGGGACGTCCGAGTAGACGACAAATTCCACGCGCTTTCAGACTTTACAAATCTTTGATGCACGTAAGGCGAGCTCGTGGGAGGAACTGGTGAACCATGGGTCTCACACAACGTTGCCCCGCATCATGACCAGCTTACTGGCGGGCTGGTACCGCCGAGGGCTAGGGGGGGGGCATGAGGCCACCATGGAGAAGTCCCAGGAAAGAAGCGCCGCGTCGAGCGGCAGAGGTGGCGAGTGCTGAAGTGGCTCATTCCCGTCGGATTCTGGATCAACAGAAGGTTGCCTTTCTGGGGAGCAAAGAGCCACAAGCCAGCTCCCGCCACAGCGATCGGCCGCCGGGTGCCAGCTCACAATAAGCGGACAGCCCTTGCTTCTGGCGCAGCATCGGCTGACGGGCTGCAGGATTTCAGCTCGGGTCGTCACGCACTCCACGGACGGTGATTGGGCGAGCGGTTGAGGATAAGCAGCGCAGGGCACGCTTTGCCACAGCAGAGGCGCAGGGTGGGTGGCTAGTGGTGGTGCTGGGCAGGTGCGCTATCGACAGACTACCCGTGGTGTGGAGGTGCGCCGTGCCGCCTGGGCTCGATCCCGTTGCACGGCCACAGGGCCGGAGGACGTCGCACGCAGACGGGCGAAAAGGTCGGGCGACCGTTGGCGGCGAGCGGGCAGCGCACCATGACGCAAGGCTGCTGGCGAGCTTGCCTAATCAGCTCGGGAGAGCAGGCGGCGAGAGGTCAAGATGAAACGGCTAGCCGGCGGGCGAATCACAGCGTGGCACGCAGTGCGTTGCGGTGTCGCCATGGACGGCGGGACAGGCGCCTGGCCGGCTTCGAGGGCGGGGGCGGTGGCAGGGTTCGGCTGACTCGGACGCGCGCGGTGGTCATGTGGGAGCAGTGGCAGCGGCACGTCAGAACGCGTGGGGCGCTCTGGTGTGGCTAGTGTGGGGCTCGTTGCAGATGCAGAGCTGAGATCCGCCCGAGGCACACGGTCGGAATCTCTTCCTGCGCCGCATGACGTCACGCCGGGCCCGCTCGCGCCAGACCCCTCGTGCAACACCCAGCGCGCGGTGGATCCTTCGTCGTTTGCGCCGCGGACACGACTCGGGCCCGCGCGCGGCGTGCATGACAGAAGAATGGCGTTGGCGCGCGCGGAAAATGCCCGCCCCCTTGTCGCGAGAAAAAAAAATAGGAACAATGGCATTCTCCGGCCCTTCTATACAACATGTACGTATAGCCTGCAAGGAACGCCTCGTGCCCGGCCCTTGCTGCTGCTCCCTTTGGCAGCCGCCCCGCGCCAGCATTGCAATATGCCATTGGCGTCCTATACACTCTTCCCCGAATAGGCAGCCTGCAAGCGAGGCGCTAGGCCTACTCTATCTTCACAAAAGCCACCGCCCCGTCTCGCGCCATTATCATGGCAGACGAAATCGATGCACGGAAAAGGAGGTGGCGGGCTGTCATCGCTCGGCAATTCGCCAGGCGACCTTCTTCTTCCCTACCGCGTCTCCGGCTTTACGCGCTTCTAAATTTGGCATAGCGTCCATCACAACCGCTTCTGGCTTCGCCGTGGCAACGCTCACCACCACCCTCGATGCCAGGAAAGTCTTGACGAGGATGCGTGTCACCGCGCAGCGTGACCAAGCCGTGAGAACAAACGTGTAACTTTTCCTATTTCGCCTTCTTGCTTATTCCGTACAGACATACATTCTTTTCCCGTCCATGATGCTTGCTTTTAGAGTCTCGCCTTTACCACGATCCCCGGCACGGTGCTCTCACCAATTGGCACCGTCAGCCCTTCGGTCCCATCGGCCGCCTTCAGCTCTACCTCCTGGCAGTCTTCAATGCCCACGCCGTTGGCAAACTGCACGACGACGAAGTCAATGTCGTCGGCACCCAAAACGCACATTGGCGCGTGCCAGGTGCCGGCGCCGTAAGTCACGGCCTGGTTTCCCTTGGCAATGAATGCCCTGGCGTTGCTGAGGTCCGGCAGCCCAGGGCCCTTTGGCGGCGGCACCGGTGCTGGCTGCCTCGTTGCCGAAGGCGAAGGCGGCGCTGCTTCGTTGGTAAAGGGCGAGGGACGCGCGCGCGAGAAGATGTCACGCAGCGAGCGGCGTCTCCGCGGCTCCGGCGTAGGGAAGGGCGGCGGCCGCTTCTGCTGCGCCGTGGCGTGGGCCGGCAGCGTCGGGGCGACGATGACCAGATACTGCGTCGAGGCGTCAGAGGCGGCCTGGCCCATGGGAATAAACGTCTGCGACGTGAAGGGGTGGCGCTCGAGGATGGACACGTCGAAGACGTCGTGGCGCAGCTGGCGCGGCGAGCACACGAACATGTTCATGACGGCCTTGGCAGGCTTGCCGCTCGCTGCCAGCTGATAGAAATCCGTCATGTGTGTGACGTCCAGGTACTTGAGTGCCGTGCCCTGGTTGGCAGTCACTGTCTGCAGGCCGCCGCCGGGCTGCGGTGACCCCGTCCGCACTGGGTTCTCGATGACGGTGCCGAAGGGCGAGAAGGCGGCCGGCGTCAGCGGCTCTACCGGGATGCGCCGGGCCGGAGCAGGTACGGACGGCGGCATGCTGGGCGGTGCTGGCAGAGGAGTTGGTGGGAGAGTCGAAGGGCTGCGTCGAAGGTGGGGAAACCCATCTTATCGCAGATAAGACGCATGTACCGCAACCGTCGTCTCAACGACGCCAGTGCCATGTGCAGCCCTCATCGACTTTCTACCCCACGTTGGGAACTTCGCAGGCATGCTTTGATGCACAGATCGCCCTTACCGATTACTCGCTGCTATCCGACTCGAGTTCATTTCATCTTAACTTCATCCATTAATTAAGCTTACGCTAGGCTTCAGATAGCGAGCAATATCACTGTCATGCTGAGCCGGCCCAAGCTTAACGTACTGACCCACTCGTGTTTCTTCCTCGATGGTACAACTATCGCTATTCGAGCTGGGCCCCATTAAATCTCTAACGGGCACAAAGACTGCCATCCACATTCCTTCGTAGACCCCTGTCGGCAGACAAGCACCATCAGTACCAAACGCCGGCAGCGATAACGGGTAAAAAGATAGACGACTAATGCCGAAAAGCTCCTCTCCACGCACGTGGAAGAAGTATAACTGCATTGTAACAGGTGACGCCTAATGTGATATACGAGAGGTTGTCGCCGGCTTTTCTTTTCTTCCCGCTAAGAGAAATTCACAATTAGAGTAGAGCTCTAGTACATATTAGTTTTAAGAGTATCGTAATTACTTCTATACATTCTATCGCGTTAGCGTCTACAACGCGTAGTAAAAGTACATATCTATTATACGATTACGATTAATCTGGGCGGAGAATAGATGAGGTTTACTGTTATACACCCGGGCGTATCTACAGCGACCCGCCGGCGGCTACCTACAGCCACAGCAGTATTACGGCTCGAGCCTCCGACCCTCGGTGGCCGTTACTCATTATAACTGATGGATGCGCAGAATAATCCCATAAGCTATCTGCTGGGTAGCGTAGAATATATACACGCCAGATGACTAAGCAATGGCAAACATCAAAGGGAGTCGAATAGCATGGAATCCACCAACTCCGTCACACCCCACGATTGCATGCCTATACAGACTTGCTGAGATCTAAGTGCGTTGCTGTAAAAAAAAAGAGATAGCTGGACCAAATGCCCTGGTGTGTGTCCACCCCAATCCTTCAACATCATCAGTGTAGGCCGGTTAGTTGGTTGGTCGGTTAGTTAGTCAGGTGGGTAGTTCGTTGTCGTTGCTGTTATTGCACGTTAAATTGGCTGTGCTACCAGTTGCGGTGTCGGTCGCGGCGTGAGTCCTGGTCCGTTTGCCAGCGTCCACTTTCCCGTTAATACGACCTACGAATATCGTTCGCGGCGTTGCGTTGCTACTGTCGCTACTAATACCTTAAGAGGCGCGCTGTCACGGTTCCTGTCCAGATCGATCTGGGCAGGCGCCCCGACAAGCTTAGATAGCTGTCGGGTCGACCCAGTCGACCCTCCACCATCAATCCATTCATCATTCTCGATCAGAGTCCGTGCCGCAGCACGCGCCGTTTTTAGTCTAGACAACGGGGTAACCAGTTGCCTTAATAAGAGAACCCGAGAGACCCTAGCCATTAATAGGCTCTTTTACTGTGGCCGGGTCTAAAACTTACAGGATCCTACGCGAAAGGTTCGCCAAATGGCACGAAGCGTGAAGGGCTTATAATCTAATAGGTGTGTAGAATAATATACGCGCTAGATAACTAAGTAATAGTTAACAAGGTAGTAAAAAAAGAAAGTCGAATAGTATATAATCTACTAACTCCGTTAATAGATAACACGGTAGTAGTTTAAGAATTAGAGATATACTAGAGTAGATATATAGTCTCGAGAAAATATAACGTAGTAATAGTAGCGAGAGAGTATAATATATAACTAAATAACAGAGATACTATATTTAAAGAAGTTAAGAGGTTATACGAATTGCGAAGTAAACCGTAACGCTATTGACGGAGTATCTAGTGGACTCCATACTATTCGCCTCTCTTGTTTGCTACCTTGTTTGCTGTTGATTAGTTATCCGGCGCGTATATATTCCACGCTACCCACAGATAGCTTATGGATCATTCTGCGCACTACCGTTAAAGGGTAATCTATTCTCCTCGCTTCAGCGTTGAAACACATGCTTCTAATCTGTTAGGAGTATGGCTCTTGAGCCTTGAGTGAACCCGGTGGCACCCCCTCCTGGGAAAAGCTTGATTCAGACTCTGATATCTTATTGTGCGATCGCAACTACTGTTGTATACGTTACGACTGTAGGTTTCCATGGCTTGTTGATTCATCGGGGTTCACCCCTGGAGAACATTGGTTTGGATGACTTGGTCCCTGAAGCGAAGTACTGGCCCATCATCAGCACACAAGGGAAAGCTGATTGGATACACTCATGCGGCTTGAGCAATTTTCATGAATAACTTGCTGCATCATTACGTCTTATAGAATTGGGACGGCTGGAATGGTTCAAGTATGCGGTCTTGAGGACCACGCCCTCGGAGGATCTAATATAAATTCATCGTGACTTCCCATATCTAACTCGACATTGCCAGAATTGCCTAGTCGTCTAGAGCAACCGCACTGATGGCTCTGGTAACACTCTTCAGATCGTCCTCCACACGCGTTGGTCTGCTTCGTTGGGCCTTGGCCTCTTTATATTCTCTCCCAAGGACCTCCATGATCTCCTTGTGGCTCTTGCCTTCGTTCTCCCGCTTGATCCTCTGGAAGTTCTCCTTCATGAATATTTGGTACTCGTTCGGGCCTTTGTTCGGATCCTTTCGACGTACAGCCGGTTTCGTTTGCACGAGCTCTGATTTACAGGAGCCACACCGGTGTTTTGCTGGATCGATAGATTTTGAGTGGCGCTTAAATTCATGTTCGCAGCTGACACAGGTCCAGACGTATTTGTAGTCAATGGCGTATGTGTGTTTCGTGGTGACGTTCACGTTGCGGTGGCCGAAGGCCCGCGTGACCCTTTTTGCCCTGTAAAAGACTGTTTAGTCATGAACTTACACCATCTGCCAGACTTCATACCATTCCTTGAATTCTCTTCCATGTGGGTTGTCCCGCACATTGCTGATCATGAAATTCGTGAGGTGGCAAAACTCATGAGCGATTACATTGACAAGACGATCTGGCACGAACAGGTCAGCACATTTGTGGCGATCATCAGTCTTGCTTGTATTACCTTCATCATCAATGACCTTTTCTGCCAGTTCGATGCTCGCGTGATGCTTGTGACGCACAGAGGACATTCCATTCTCCTGAACTTTTATGCTCTCTTTCTTCCAGTTTGCTCTTCCGGCGGTCGTGTTCAAGGTCTTACTCCAAACTAGTTGGACGCCGCCTGACTCAGCCGTTAACGACGATATTTCTCCTTTCGTGATTGTCGCATCTAGTTCATCGAGGAAGTCTCGGGCCAACTGGTGCTTTCGCTGCTCGAACGATCTGCGTGCCGGGTCCTTCTTGGCAAGACTCTTCTTCTGCGGCGATATCTGGTAGGTTTCCTTGTCGCTGGGAGGGCCAGCCCTCTCTTTCTTGGGAGATTGCAGAACTTTGCGAGGTGAATGCAGGTCGTTCCACGAGTTGACCACCTCTGCAGACCAGAAGGCATCCAGGCTTGGCCGATGCGGCGGTGTTGGGATACGGTTCTTTTTGGGAGACACAAGACGTGACTTCTCCGGACTGGCAGCAAGAGGCGGAGTGCAAGGGCGGTCGGAGTCATGGAGGATCTTATGTGGTGATCTTCTCCGAGGAGGCGAGCTAGAAGGGTTATTAGTGCGTTGGACCTAAGATACGATAAAGAGTCCTCACTATGTCAAGACAGCGTTAAAATCAGTAGACGAAGAACTCGATGGTCGTTCAGAGTCTGCAGAGCTTATCTCAGGCTTCCTCAGAATAGGCGGGGGGTTTCTGGTGTATTGGGTCTCATAGGCTGGTACGCTGTGCTCAGAGACTTGCCTACTCCGAGACACATCGTCCGAAGAGCCAACATTGGATTTTTGGAAATCTGTTAGCAACACATTCGGTGGCCAGGTCGCTTCGTCATGGTCATCCTCGGCAAACATATCGTCCCGGTCATCATGTGAGGCAGACCATAGGCTCCCTTCTACGTCTTCCTCGGATTCGGATTCGGAACTGCAATCTGAGTCTGCTTGCGCCATGCTGTTCGAATCCGACTCCTCGTCCACAAGGTACTTGGCATTTTTCTTGGCTGCCCTGGCAGCTGTTCGTTTTGCAACAGGCGACCGCGTGCGGAAGGTTGAGCCGCTCTCATCAAGGGATGCAATGGACCCGATGGTCTCGGCGGTCACCGGACGTGCAAGCCTACTGTCTACAGAAGCAGATTTCAGCAAACGCTGACGCCTCGCGGCGACGGGGGTGCCCTTGGCCTTTTGGGAGAGCGGCGGTGCGGTGGATTCAGGGTTTTTTGCGCCGAGCAATGGTTTGTTCTTTTCTCGAGATGAGGGCGTCGCCGGTTGTGCGTTGCGGCGCCTGTTAAGGATGTCGGAAAGGGCGGGCAGCTCATCGTCGCTGCTCTCATCGTGGGCGCGCGCCATCGGTAGTCGAGTTGGCGTCGGGCTAGGAATGCACTATGGCGATGGGGTCGTGGTGGTGGTGGTAGGGTCGTGGTGTTTGCAATCGTTGGCGATGGTTGGCGCGGCAACGCGGCGGAGGCTTGGCGAGCTGACGGCGAGAATGGCGACATATGGCGACATCAAGCAGTGCTCCCAACGAGGCAACGCAAGGGGCAAAAGGGCAAATCGAATTGCTGCAACAGGACAAACGGCTAAGATGCTAAGCAATATGGCGCTGCACCCCGCAATGTGGCCTTGGACCGCAACTGTCTTTGCGCGCCGTAGGGCTGACCTCACCTCAACCTCAGCTCGACGGGCACGCCGTTGCGCCTGTCTCAGCCAAGCAACCCAGAGGTCCAGCGGGCCAGCGCTTCAGCGGGCCAGCGCCCAGCACCTGGCACCCGGCACCCAACGCCCGGCACCCGGCACCCGGCGCGTCGGGGGCGCCATCACGAGCGCCGTCCAAGCGAAGGCCGGCGGAGAGACGGATTCCAGCAGGAGAGCGACATGATCGCCGCGCTCGTGTCCGCGGGAGAGGGTTGTCTCACGTCGACGGTTATCGGCGCACGGGGCGGCGCGACTCTGGGGAAGTGCAAACACCGTCGGCACGGCGCACCGGTATCGCGGCGTGCTGCTTCGCGACTGACGCAGAGCAAACGCCAAGACGGGCCTGGTGCGACGCGGAAACGACACCGAGCTGCAGAGATGGGCAGGAGCGAGGGATAGCTGTTCTTTCCGGCGTGCAATCATTACCATGGCGGGGAGGAGCGAAAGAAGCGACTCCTGAAGATGAAACAAGCAGTCATCTGCGGGCCCGGGCCAGGGCGCGGTGCAGCCGCAGCCGTCGAGAATGTTTCGCTGAGATCTGTCAGTGCAGAGCGATCTGCCGGCCAATGACGAGCCCGCGGGGAGCGTTTTTCGCTCACGCTGCCTTGGCATCCGCCCGCCTCCTGGAGGCGTCCAACATGGGCCATCCGGCCAGCTTCAAGGCCCTCATGCACCGCTACCCCTCGCGCCCCCCCGTCAGCCCATCTGCCCGTCCGCTCTGGGCACTGGCCGTCCGGAAAAATGCGTCGCAGCAGGCCTGCGTCGCCGCATCGGGCAGACCGCGCCCTCTCCGCCACCGGCTTGCGCAACAATCGTCCTAGTGTGCGACGACCGCCCAGGTGTGCGTCGGCCCGCGTCAGCTCCTCATCTCAAGGCCAGTCGCGTCCTCGGTGTCGCTGCAGCCCGCCGGCGGCTGCACGCGCCCGGCGCCGTGTCCGTCATGCAGCCGTCGATACTTGCCCTTGCCAGCGCTCAGGGGTGCGTCTGGGCGCGCAAGCCGCCTCACAAGCTGACGACTGCCACGCCCCCGGCGCCGCACGCTGGGAGGAAGCGGCATTCGCGACGCGCGGCGATCGAAATGTGTGCACCGGTGGAGCCTGCCCTGGGTCCCTGGCCACCGATGTCATGAAACGTTTGAGAATTGCGCACTGCCCAGCTCCAATGGCCCCATATATATGAATGTCCGTGGCGGGAAGTGGTGGCCTGCCCCAGCCCTGGTTGTTTTTGTACACTTCTTCCCACGCTCCTTCAAGAAGACGTCTCCTATCAGCCTTCGCTTCTCTCCTCCAACACCATCGTTCCAAGTCTGTCGCTCTTTGAACCTGCCGCCACCATGACGTACGCCGACCAGTACACCCCGAAGCCCATCACCGACATCTTCACCGCCGACACCGACATCGACCGCCGCCAATGCAAGCGTACCGTGCCCATGAGGGTCATGTGCCTGGGACTCGGCCGCACTGGCACTGCTTGTGAGTAGTAGTAACAACTGTCCTCCTCAGAGCAGGCCCTGACCGCTGGGTGCAGCTCTCCGTGATGCCCTGCGCGAGCTTGGCTTCAACGACACCTACCACATGATGGCCGTCAGCGTGGAGAACCCGCCTGATGCGCTTATGTGGATGGATGCTCTGGCCTACAAGTACGACGGCGTTGGCCACTTTGGCCGTGAACAGTGGGACCAGCTCCTCGGCCACTGCCAGGTATGATGACCCTTCACCCTGACGGCCCGCGCAGGCTAACGATGCTGCAGTCTCTTTGCGATTGGCCGGCGATTGCGTTCGCGAAGGAGCTGATTGAGGCGTATCCCGAGGCCAAGATCATCCTGACCACCCGCGACGTTGACTCTTGGCACGCGTAAGTTGGTCCAAGGAGCAGGACTTGGCTGCAGATGCTAACCGAAGACGCAGCTCCTGCCTCAAGACGGTCGACTGGCGCGCCAATGACCCGGAGTTGAAGATGGTCGCCAAGTGGGACTGGGGCTCTGGGCTTTACCAGCCCATGCTGCACAAGTTCTGGACCAGCTTCTTCAAGGGCGACTTCAAGAAGTACGGCAAGCAGGTCTACCACGAGCACTACGAAGAGGTGCGCAAGCTCGTGCCGCCGGAGCGCCTGCTCGAGTACCGCATGGGCCAGGGCTGGGAGCCGCTGTGCGATTTCCTCGAAGTGCCGGTGCCGGACAAGAAGTTCCCGCACACCAACGACACGGACGGCTTTGTCGACAGGTGCCGGGGCCGCAACAAGGCGCAGATGTGCAACGTTGCCTTCCGCATGCTGGTCGTCGGAGGCGGCGCGGCAGCCACGGTGCTGGCGGCATCGATGACGCTGCACCGCTACTTCGGCCACCGACTGTTCGGTAGCTCGTAGGCGCGGGCGCCGTTGGTTTGCATGTTCTTTTGATTCACGCACATTGCGCCGGGTTTGGGCTTATGTTGGTGTAATATGTTATCTTTCCAAAACGGGCGACGCGGAGTTGGCATCAGGGACATAGACTCTTTTCTTGGCGCAGGTTCATGTACACAGCTTTCAGAGCGGACAGCGTCTTCCGCAGGCTTTTTCCGAGCAGGACGCTCAAATGCAGTTAATCTCTGTCCATCTCTTGCCGCTTGATCCGAGGTGAAGGAGCAATCATCCTGGACGCCTGGGCGCAATGTCATGCAGGAGGGCGGGCGTGTGGCGGCGGCGGCAGGGCGGCGTGGGCGTGGGCGCGGCCATGGGCAGCGTCGCGGCGCCAAGAATTGCGGTGCGCAGGCCGCGTGAGCTTGGGTGGGCCGTGGTGTGTCTCCACGTCCTCCTGGCGCGGAGGGCGAGCAGCGTCCGCTGGCGGTGGGATTCCGATTGCGATGGACCGGGTGGGGGCAGGCCTCTAATCTCGTTCGGGGCGCGGTGTGGCTGATCGCTGGCGGCCAGGGATGCGCGTCTCTGCGTGGAGACGCCGGTGGGCCCGCAGCTCGAACGTGGCCAGCGGCTCTCTAGCTGCGTAAGGCGCTCAGGGCGCTGCATTTTGTCTGGCCGCATCCGCGTCATCCCAGCGCCCGCGTCTGCTTTTCGCTTCTTCCGCAGAGGGGTGTGGTCTCTTCAATGACAAGCCGCCTCGCTCCATAACTGCCATTTTTTTGCCATGTCGCCGACACCAGCCTCTCCTTCCATGCCTTCGTTTCTACGTGCCGTTGCGTTCCTCTTTCTCTCGTTTACTGCCTCTGCTCGCGCGGACCTGAACAACGACACCTCTCCTACGTCCTTCTTCCACTCGGTGCGTCCTGCTGCGCCTGCGTGCCGCGTTGCGCCGCCGCTGACCACAGCTGCAGAGACCAGAGATTCATGCGCCCATAATACAATTCGACGTGCTATGGCCCGACTTCGTGTCGCCGGGCTACATTTTCCTCTCGCCCTATCGCAACGTCGACCCTGGGCCCTACATATATGATAACTATGGCGTACGTCTCTTAGCTCGCCCGCCCCCGCCCGCAGTCCGCTGACAGCCTCAGAACCTGGTGTGGTCCGGAGCTGGTCTCATGGGCCCCATGGTTGGCCACGCGCCCCGCGTCTGCGACTACCAGGGCGAGGACCACCTTTGCTTCTACCAGGGCGAGCAGTACCAAGGCTTCGCCCGCGGCCACGGCATGATCATGAACAACGAGTACCGCGTCGTCAAGACGGTCGAGAGCGGGGGTTCCACCGCCCAGGCCGACATGCACGAGTTCCGCGTGCTGCCTGGCGGCAAGACGGCCCTGATGACCGTTTACCAGACCCGCCAATACGACCTGGCACCCTTTGGCATCGAGCGGGGGATGGGCTGGATTGTCGACAGCGTCTTCCAGGAGGTTGACATTGAGACCAACGACGTGGTGTTCGAGTGGCGCGCCCTGGACCACGTGTCACCGAGCTTCAGCTACACCATGCCCGGTACCACCGACACCAGTGGCGACGGACGCTCGCCCAACTCGCCGTGGGACTACTTCCACATCAACTCCGTCGACAAGAATGAAGACGGCGACTATCTCATCTCCTCGCGCCACATGGCTGCCGTGTACAAGATCTCGCGCGAGGACGGCCATGTCATCTGGGAGCTGAACGGCGCGAACCCCAGCTTCCGCAACCTCAACCTGCACTTCTCCAGCCAGCACCATGCGCGCTGGCTAAAGGAGAACTCGACGCATACGGTCCTCTCCCTCTTCGACAACGCCAGCAATCACTACAACTCCACGAACCCCTGGTCGCGCGGTATGACCATCGCCATCAACCACGTCGCCCGTACGGCATCGATGCTCCAGGAATGGCTGGCCCCGGACGCGGCAGGAGGGGTGTTGTCGGGATCGCAGGGCAACATGCAGGTGCTCAAGGACGGCCACGTCGTGATCGGCTGGGGCAACAACCCCTTCTTCTCCGAGCACCTGCCAACGGGCGAGGCCGTCATGTACGGCAAGCTCGCGCAGCCCGAGTCGGGAGTGGTCAACTACCGGGTGTACAAGTTCGAGTGGTCGGGCACGCCCCGGGACAACCCGGCGCTGTGGACGTTCTCCCGCACGGGGACCAGCGTCGCGGGCATGGTCTTCTACGTGTCGTGGAACGGTGCCACCGAGGTCAAGTCATGGCAGTTTTACGCGGGCAACGATGCAAACGGGCCGTGGGAGTTTGTGGGAAATGCGACCAAGCGTGGGTTCGAGACGAGGCTGCGCATCGAGACGGTCAAGCCGTATGCGTTTGCAGAGGCACTGGACGAGCACGGGAACGTGCTGCGGCGCTCGTCGGTCACCAAGACGTTTGTGCCATCGGCGGGCCTCATGCCGTCGTGCGACGACTGGAGCTGCCAGCGACACCCGCCGCTCGCCGAGGGCGAGGTCATCGAAGCACACCCGCCATTCGTGGCCAACGGCGGGGCCAACTGGAACACGGGCCTCAACAGCTTAAACTACTACACAACGCTGCCAAAGTCGGTGGGAGCGAGCATCGCAAACATCGGGGGCCCGCTGGCGGTCGGCGTGGCCATTGTTGCGCTGCTGTGCCTGTGTCTGTACAAGCACCGGGCGATGCGGAGCATGTCCGGATGGCAGCGTTCGCTGCAGCAGCGGGCGGTGGATTTGCAGGAGGTGCTGAGTCCGGACGGCGTGCGGCAGCGGCTACTGCGAAAGTACAAGCGGGTAGGGGATGCGGAGACGGGGCTGTGAGACGCGAATCGTGTGTACTGTACATAGATAGTAGAATCTGCAGAGCAAACAACATAATGCTAATCTGGGCACGGGAAAGCCGTGTATCCGACTTGGCTGCGCTTGGTTCGCGGGGCTGCAGGGGGTGATGTCAGCAACGGCTGGGCGGTGAGAGGTGGTGTGCGGTGGAGGGCGTTGAGCGGGACGGCAGCTTGAGATGGTGTGGCCGTCGTCCCGTCGCGGCTGGCGTGGCTGAGATGCAGCGCGGCTGTGGCTGGTTGAGCCTCGCGTCCACACTAGCGGCGCCTACGACGACGACAGGCGACGACGATGCGACGGCGGCGCGGGGACAAGCGCAGATTCTGCGGGCGCATTGCCGGGGCTGTCGCAAGGAGAGCGTCTCGGGTGCTATTGATAGGCGGCCACACACAAGCCTTCCCAAGCTTTTTGTGCGCGTCGCAACGCCGGGCTGGATGCGGAGGCGATCGGCGCCGCGGATTTGGATGGGCGAGCGGCGCGCGAGGTTGATTGCGCGGCCGCACGGACTGCCAGGCGGGACGCTCCTGCTAATGTCGCGCGCGCACCGCAGTCCCTGTCGCCAAGCCGCGCCAAGACAAGGGCCTGAAGCACAGGCGCGTCCGACAATACGTATGCAGCTGCGACGGAGCTGACGGAGGCGCCCCACAGCGCTGCGGTGCCGGCCTACATCCTATCACCCCTCCCGCCGCGCCAATGTTTCCCTCGTCACCTCCACTCCGCGACGATGCGCAGCAGAACCACCTCGCAGGCCGAGCCCGCTGACTCGTCCACCGGTGCCGCCCTCCGCCAGCACAAAGCTCATCAGCGCCATGGCTCCGGCGTAAATCCCCACGCCCGCTCCATCTCCCTCGGCCGCCTCGAGCTCGACGAACCTGCCGACATGGACACGCCCATCGAACACAGCAAGCCGCCGCCCGCCAGCTGGGCCACGCTGCCTCACAAGGGCCAGCTCGCCGTGCTGGCCATCTCGCGCTTTGTCGATTTTTTCCAAATGGCCTCGCTGCAGACGTACATGGTCCACCAGCTAAAGTCCTTCGATCCCGCCCTGCCCGACTCGGCCATCTCGCACCAGGCCGGTGTGCTGCAGGGCAGCTTCACTGCCACCCAGATTGTCACTGCTGTCGTCTGGGGGCGCGTCGCCGATGCCCCGTGGTGTGGTCGCAAACGCGTGCTGTTGATCGGCCTCGTCGGCACCGCTTTCTCGTGTTTGGGCGTCGGCTTCTCGCAAACTTTTTTGCAGGCCACGCTCTGGCGCATGTTTGGCGGTGCCATCAACGGCACCATCGGCTCTGCGCGAACCATGGTTGCCGAGACGGTCGATAAGCGCTTCCACTCGCGCGCTTTCCTGCTGCTTCCACTTGCCTTCAACGTGGCCAACATCCTCGGTCCCAGTACGTCGCTCTCCCACCCTTGCCATTCGCATCTTCTCCGCCTGCTGACCGCCGCCCCGCAGTTCTGAGCGGCTTGCTCGTCGAGCCTGTCGCCGCATACCCAAAGCTCTTCGGCCCAGCCTCAGTCTTTGGCGGGGTCGATGGTGTCCAATGGATGGAAAAATATCCATACGCCATGCCAAACCTCCTCTGCGCCATCCTACTCGTTCTCGAGGCCATTGCCGTGCATTTACTACTCACAGAGACGCTAGCCAGCATCCGGAACTCCAAGGTCCCGCTTCCCAGCATCCTGGACCTGGTGAAGAGGTTCATTTCTCGCTTCACGTCGCCCAATGCGCACCGCTACAGCCTTGTCGACTCCGCCTCCGATGGCCTACTGGCGGGCATGGACGACGACGCTGTTGAACTCTCGTCAATCAATCATGGCGAGAAGCCGAGCATGACAAAGCGCCAGCAAGTTTTGCCATTCAGCCGCATCTGGACCTCCAACGTTCTATGGGTCTTGCTTTCAATTGCCATTTTTGACTTCCATATGGGGTAAGTCTCCGCCGCAAATCGGGCTTGGCGTTCCGGTATCGCTGACTTGCTCCATACAGTGCCTTCTCCAGTCTCTGGATTGTGTATCTTTCCAGCGATAGGCCTGCACCTGACATCACGGCCCGCTTCACCAAGAGATCCAACCCTTTTATCTTTAGCGGCGGTCTTGCCTTTGAGCCTGCTGCTATTGGCTTTGCTCTAGCTGTCCTTGGAATTGTCGGCCTGTTCCTTCAGCTTTCTATATACCCCTGGGCCAACACGCGTTTCGGCCTGATGCGTTGCTTCCGCTACTCGCTTTTTCTTTTCCCGCTGGCTTATTTCCTGGCACCCTATTTGTCTCTCTTGCCCTCGCCAACACCGGCGCCAAGTCCCGCCACAGGATTCTGGGTATGGGTCGGCATCAGTCTCATTCTCACCCTCCAGGTGACCGCGCGTACCTTTGCTCTTCCAGCTAGTATTATCCTGCTCAATAACTCCAGCCCGCATCCGAGTGTCCTTGCCACTATCCATGGCATCGGCCAGAGCGTGAGCTCGACCTTCCGCACCGTGGGACCCATCGCCGCCGGCTACTGGTACGGTGTTGGGCTAGAGAGGGGCATTGTCGGGATTGCTTGGTGGCTTGTCGCAGCTGTCAGTTCTATTGGCTGCGTTGCCAGTTTCTGGGTCCGTAATGGCACTGGCCACGAGATTCTCCTGCCTGGTGAGGAACCTCCGGAGAATGACAGGCAATAAGCGGCAACTTTCGTTTCTTTGGGGGGAGGGATTTCACTTTCCACAATATGTTCAAAGTTTATATTCGAAAGATGGTTGGAGCGAAGAGAGTTTTACATGCTGCATCCTGGAGGGCGTTCTGCATGCATTCACACCCGGCGTTGGTCCTTTTCCTCATTTGATTTGTATATGGTACCCTAAAACTAAAAGGGGCGTAGGGCACGCGTGGACTCACTTGGTTACCTTCGTCCAGTTTATCTTGCTCACATACCCTCTTCTTTTCCTTTACCTACAACGCGAAGCAGGGAAGTCTAGCAGAGCACATAAAGTGCTGGTATATCTTCAAGCGCGTGGTTCTCAGTGTCAGGCTGGCAGGCGTACATTAGTTCCGGTAGGAAATTACAATCGCATACCATCGACGTTTACTGTGCGACGAAATACGCCCGTGGTCTCGGGTTTCCCATATGGTGTTGTTTCGTCGAAACAAGCCTTCTCCTAATGCTACTTTGTGCTACGGAAAAGCGCAGTGTTACGTGAAGGGTCATGCATGCATATGGCAGCGCAGCCACACTATGTTCAAGTAAGACAGCACCTTTGTACCCCCGAGGCACATATGCAGGCGGGGTTTTGTGTTCCGCAAGTTCCCCGTCTTGGTTGAGTTGCACATATAGTGCTCACAACCCTCTGCAATTAAGGCCTTTTAGAAAAAATTTAGCGTCATGAACGATAAAACAGTTCCTGCCTGCCTCGGTTACAAGGTTTGCTCCCTCTCGTTCCAGAGCAAATACGTCTTCTCGGCGAATTATAATACACATGGTTAATGTCGCAAAACTATAATTACACCCCACGTTAATATTCAAGAACCAGGCTCCAAACTTAACCGCCAGCGCTAATGGCTTACTTTTTACCTCTTCTTACTAGTAGACTTTCCCTTGTCGTAATATGGCTGTTGCTATATTCTAGGCTGTTAGTAGACTGAAATTATCACCATAGATTAAAGATTGATCAATAATGCTTTGCCATATTATAACTTTCTCGGCAACACATGTGATCAGAAATAACAGGACTGGAATGCATATATTCGTGTTTCCGAGTACACGTTATTCCTAGGGTCCAGTTATTTGTGTACAAAGTAGAAAATTAGACGAGGTTAATTAAGTCAACACCAAAGCACTTTTTATTCGTCCGTTTCGCATTCTCTATATTTTGTGTGTCTAAGTGCCCACTCCTTTTAAGTTATACATGATGACCGAAAACACCACTAGAACCACCTTGGCCTCCACAATGATGCAAGCAACCCAGTAGACCTGTTGTTTGAACACCAGTTATGTCTCGAATGTTTGTACCGTTTCTTCGACGATCATTTTGCCTTTGAATCCGCATTTCCCTTCGCCTGCACCTTTCAAAGCTATAAAGAGTCGGTCCAGCAAAGAAGGAAGCCACACGCATGGAATGGACACAAGAGACAGACAGGTCGTGTCTTAGCCCAGGCCTGTCTTCGTGGTCTTAACAACATGTGTGACGGGCTGAAGGATACCCTTGTTGTTCAAAGCACCCAAAGCTGTACCAGAACTCCAGCCCATCTTCTCAAGCATGGCCCGTCCTTTGTTTTCTGAGCCAATTTCAGGTGCAGATGCACCGACGACGTCACCGTCTTGATAGGATACGGCAGCATACCTGCCTCCACCGCCTCCACCACCGGATTTCTTGCCAGCACCGCGTTTGTCCATGCGCTGGAGGAAGCGATTTTGGTACCTCGCGGTGATCTTGGCAAACGACATCTCGTTGAATTCCCTCGTACGCGATGTCTTGATAAGCGTAGTGAAGCGCGAGGTTCCGGAGCCAATAGATCTTGACGTGAGCCCCAAAGCCGCCGCCAGCTGGTGAAGTGCGGCACGGTCGCGTTTGTCCATGGGAGGGAAAGGCCGGCTCTGACCGGGCGAGTCCAAGAACACCTTGATCTCTTCTCTAATTTGAGTGAATGACATGCCCTCGTTGTATTTAGCATTCAGGTCGGCTTTGAACTTGTTCTTCTTTCCAAGGAGACCTTGAGAGCGTAGCTCCGCCCGCTCCTGCTTCTTGAGACGTTTCTTGCTGCGATCGTTTTCCCACGATGTGACGAGCTGAGACGCGAGATCGTCGTCGGACAGCTCAAAGGGCAAATCGACCGCCCTGCCTTTCTTCTTCTTCTTAAGACTCGGCCTATCAAAGTCCATGATATCGAAGCCATTGTAAGGGTCCTGTTCGAGCACATCGGCCATTATAGTCGCTGAGGGGAAGTCTCCTCTGGCTCGCTTCGATTTTGATTTCTGCTTCCTTCCTCGACTCGTCTGCGGCATGCGATACTTATTCCCGGCACCGAGGTCGTCAATCTCGACATCTTCATCCTCATCTTCACCGTCGAACAGAAGAAGAGTATCTGTGTTCATGCCCAGCTCCTCTTGCTTCGCAATCAAGCGCGCAAGCTTTTCATCACTCATGCGCTCTATTCTCCTCTGGATAAGGTCTTCTTCATCCTCAAAGTCCATATCGTCGTCGTCATCGTCCTCCTCGTCCTCGTCGTCGTCTTCATCGTCGTCTTCGCTCTCGTCGGACCAGCTCTCGGATGTATCGGCTTCGTTTCCAAGCGTGACATTTGCGGTGGTTTCTTCGAATGCGGCCACAAGGCTCTTATCATGTTCCCGAGTCAATCTAGAGACGGGGATCCAGCGAGCCTCGTCCTCATTTGAGTTTTCGAAAACAACAAGATATTGAAGGCCGTTTGACCGCGCCCGTTTACGAAGTATGCGATCAACGTTACCAAACACCTCAGATGAAGTACTAATATTGTCAAAGTCTCCAAGTTGGGAAGAGTCCCAGTCGTTCTTATGGGGATTTCCATGGCCAGGTTTTTGCGTGGTGCTCTGGTCGGCAGCGGCGTCCCATTCATCATTGTCCGTCAGCCCCAAAACCCGATGTGTAAGAGTTGAGGTTGCGTAGGTATTTCCAGTCACGAGTTCGCCTGCATCGTCGTGTTCCTGTGCTTTGATATTCTCAATATAGTCTGCAATAGCCTCTGCATCTGGGTCGGAATCGTTCTGATGGCGACTGCTATGCGAATGCAATCGGCGAGCGGATGCGCTGCGAGCTTGGGCCTTTGCAGTAGGTTTGGGCAGAGCTGCCGACGCGACTGATGATTCCTGGGCAGCTAGTACGTTGGCCTCGCTTTTGGTCTGCTTCAGCTGAATCGAATCCGTCACAACTTTCACATTGTTCCGGCCTCGAAATAGGACCACCTCTTCGCTGGAGTCGGAAGGGGTCGGAGAGGCATTGCGTACCACCGGAGGCGGAAATTGCGTGGCGGCAAGGGCGCTCGAACCGGCAGTGTCCTCGAAGAAAAGGGCGGGCGCAGGTGGCGACGCGGTAGCTTCGACGGTGGGCTCGAGATGCATTTGCGCCATGGCGCTCTCAGACTCCGCAATGGCATCTGCGATGGGCTCGTCGCGATTTGAAAGTGACTCGTTTGGCGTCGACCCGTCGGGAGTGCACTCATTGGGCGTAGAATTGTCGGAACGAGATTCTTCGGGCAGTGTGCCGGCAAGATTGCCTGCGCTTACGAAGCTGATGCCTTTGTGCCGGAGCTTTACATCGGAGGACCAGAGGTGGTGGCGATGCTCGGTATTGCGGGCTTCCTCCTGGAGAGAAAATGCATGGGTAGCGGGAGCTGGCGGGCGAGGTGAGTACCAGATGTGAAGGGTGGCGGGGAGGGCAGCAAACCATCAACGGAGGCTCTGGTGAACGTCCGGGGGGTGGAGGCCCCGCGAGAGCCGCCTCTGCCTCGGCGCGAGCCTCGGTGGCCTCCGCCCTTGCGCGCGTGGTGCACCATCAGAAGATTCGCAAAGCGGCGAGGTGGATGACAAGGGTGTGGAGAGAGAAAGAAGAGCGGCGAGTGCTCGGGAGCTGCGCCGGCCCTTGTAACGCTGTACGTTATCTTATCGCGTGCATGACTCGTCGCAGAGCGCCCGCCCGCTCAGCAGCCCGCTCAGCGGCTCGTCCGGCAGCGTGCTGTGATTGCTGCTCGGCGCTGCTATGAGATCGTGCGTGCTTTTCTCTGGCTTGTGGATGTGTAGAGGAGACACAGCTGATTGCACCGCGTTGGCAGCATGTTTGAGGCGTCGCCAGGAGAGCACCAGGCACCGGCGTGCTGCCGCATGCCTTCCCCGCCATCTGAGCTTTGCCTGGGGTCAGCTGTCTAGGCATGCGCCGGCGTCACCTTCATCACACCTGCACCCACCACACGCTCCCGACTTCTCCCCATCTGCGCCGCCGCACCCTTCCCGACCACCGCTGGTGATGGTATTCCGGTGAACACGTCCGCCCTCCGCCATGGCCAACGTCGATATCGGCCGCTACAGCAAGCGCCTGGTCCAGTACTTTTGGGATCCGCTCCCCAGGAACGAAGAAGCCTCTCCCATATGGTGTCTCGGAAGACCCTACGACTCCAAATCCCGCCCCTCCTCTCCCAGCGAAGATGCTACCGACCGCCCTGCGCCGCCGCTATCCGTATCGCACGGCTCCACCACCTCGTCTCGCTCGGCAACTGGTGACGGAACCAGTCAGAACAGCAGTGAGGATGAGAGTGCCCGGGCGGCTGACGCTTCGTTGGATGCGGACAACGATGGTGGCTGGCCTGCACCGTTCCTAGACGACTTCGAGGCCCGCTTCTGGCTTACTTATCGCTCCAACTTCGCAGCCATACCCAGGTCTCAGGACCCAAACGCTGCCAACGCCATGAGCTTTGGCGTGCGCCTCCGCAGCCAACTCAGCAACCAAACCGGGTTCTCTTCTGATACTGGATGGGGTTGCATGATCAGGTCCGGGCAGAGTCTTTTGGCAAATGCCCTGCAGGTGCTTCGCCTGGGGAGAGGTACGTGCTGTCACCTTCGGCCATAAGCTTGCATCTCGCTGACACACACAGACTGGCGGAGAGGCCTTAATCCACAAGAAGAGCGGCAGATCCTTTCCTTGTTCGCTGATGATCCAAAGGCCCCGTTCTCCATCCACCGCTTTGTCGAGCACGGTGCAGCAGCTTGCGGAAAGCACCCAGGCGAATGGTTTGGCCCATCAGCCACCGCGAGATGTATTCAGTTAGTCACATTCCGCTCTCCTCGTTGCATAAATACTGACTCTTTGTCAGAGCTCTTACGAACGGACACGAGGAGGCTGGTCTTCGCATATACATCACTGGCGATGGATCGGATGTCTACGAAGACAGTTTCATGAAAACAGCAAAGGACCAGAAGGGTTTCTTCCGGCCGACCATGGTTTTAGTTGGTATCAGGCTGGGCATTGACCGCGTGACTCCAGTATACTGGGAAGCTCTGAAGGCATCGCTGCAATTACCCCAGTCGATCGGTATTGCTGGGTAAGCAACTACCATCTCAGATGCGTCTTCTTCGCTGACAATCCAAGTGGCCGTCCGTCGGCTTCTCATTACTTTGTCGGCGTACAAGGCTCCAATTTCTTCTATCTCGATCCGCACAACACTCGGCCCTTCCTCCCGCTCCATTCCGATCTTGCAGATTATACCCAGGAAGATGTGGACTCTTGCCATACGCGTCGCCTACGCCGTTTGCATATAAAGGAAATGGACCCGTCGATGCTGATAGCGTTTCTCATTCGCGACGAGGCGGACTGGAGAAGCTGGAGAAAAGCCGTCACCGACGTGCACGGCAAACCCGTTATTCATGTGGCCGATTCTGAGCCCATTATCCACGGCGGCCAGGAACGTGAGGGTGCGATCGACGAGGTTGAGGCGTTTGACGACGAAGACGAAGGGTTGCAATGAAGACCACGGCGTTGAATCTGGCGCTCTCTGGGATACCACTTAATTAGACTTGTTCCCCCACAATCTTCCTGCATCCAATCCTCTGATCTTATTCAAACGGGAATCCATGCCGTGACACCGGAAATGTGAGATCGCGTCGGGAATCGTTGCCGGCCAGGTGTCGATACGGTGTGGTAGAAGGTGCTCGTTTTGCTAGCAGGAGAAAATAGCTATAGCCATCGCTCAACGGAGGTCATCCAGATTGACGTATCCTGCCATGTTAGAAGCTCCTGTCCAAATCCAAACGGCACATTCAAGTGAGATGGCGAGAAAATCTGAGGTACCGATTCCTTTCGGACTGCTTGTCTCGGAGGACCGTAATGTACAAGCGCAGTGATATCTGAAAACCATGAGTCCGTAAAGCCAAACCCGGCCTGAAAAAATGAAGCAAGCCATCCCATGATCGCATTAAAAACCCATGAACACCGTCCCCGAACCGATCCGCCCTGATGTGAGCTAAAAATCAGGGAACATCGCCACCGAAGTCAACCCTGAAACACCGCATCTGAAGATGAAGTCACCTATTTGGTGGAGGAAGAGTACTTGGTGACGGCCTTGGTGCCTTCCGAAACGGCGTGCTTGGCCAGCTCACCCGGGAGGATCAGCCTGACACTGCGGAGAAAGTCAGTATGGATTGCGTAAGCATTTCGGGGATGCGGAGTACGCACGAGGTCTGGATCTCGCGGGAAGAGATGGTGGACTTCTTGTTGTAGGCAGCAAGCTTGGAAGCCTCGGTGGCAACGCGCTCGAAAATGTCTGAATGCGCGTCAGCGTCGGATCGCTCGCATTCGGATGCGATGGAAACCTACCGTTGACGAAAGAGTTCAGGATGGACATGGCACGGTTGGAGATACCGGTGTCAGGGTGGACCTGCTTGAGGACTGGAGGCGAAAACACGTCAGTGACTGAGCTCAGCGCGCGAAAGCCGCGCAGGCGCGGAAAGAGCGCGCAAGCTCACCCTTGTAGATGTAGGAGGAGTAGGTCTCCTTCCTGGACTTGGTGCGCTTCTTCTTGTCGCCAGAGGGAGCGGCGGTCTTCTTGCCAGCCTCCTTCTTCTCCGCGGGCGCCTTGCCAGCGGGGGCCTTTCCGCCGGTGGTGGGGGTCTTCTGGGCCTTAGGGGGCATTTTGGCGGATTGAGCTGATGCTGCGCGAAAAAGCTGAAGTAGCTGAGTTGGAGAGGTAAGCTGGTGAGCTGCGTGCGACGGCGCGATGGAGCGGTATGGGTGGTGGATGGAGAAACGGAGTTGGAGCTGCGTCGCGCGGGCGGGCTCAATACTTAAAGGCCGGCGAGTGATCGGGCAAGAGCTCGTCGCGTCACTTGTTGTGAGGCCCGTGCGGGGCGCGACGCGCTAGACCGCAAACAAGCGCCGGGTTCGCTTATGCGGCGGGCGCGGCTGCGCGACTGGCGCTTTGCGCCCCGCCGAAGCCCATGTCACGGCCGGTGATCGCTAGAACGCGACGCTCCCTCATATAAGCTGTCCGCGCCGCCCGCCTCCCATTCCCCCCCCATCCACTCTCCATCCCACTACGCTCGACTTATTGCACGACCACCGCGTCAACTCACGACCCACGCATTCTATTTTCCAAGCTTAATCGCTCAACCAAACCAACCGCAAAAATGACTGGTGGCAAGTCTGGTGGCAAGGCCTCTGGCAGCAAGTCCAACGCGCAGTCGTAAGTTTCCCTCCACTCGATTCTGCGCCCTCAGCAATGCATTTTGCGTGCTTGGGCGCATTTTACGCGTCATTTCGACGCGCGCCATCTCGAACGCATTTTCTGACCCGTTTGCAGCCGCTCGTCCAAGGCCGGTCTTGCGTTCCCCGTCGGTCGTGTCCACCGTCTCCTCAGGAAGGGCAACTACGCTCAGCGTGTCGGTGCTGGTGAGTCATTTTCCGGATCCGTGGGCAATTCAAAGTTTCTAATTAAAATCAGGTGCCCCGGTCTACCTCGCCGCTGTCCTTGAGTACCTCGCTGCCGAAATTCTCGAGCTGGCGGGTAACGCTGCCCGTGACAACAAGAAGACCCGTATCATCCCCCGTCACCTCCAGCTTGCCATCCGCAACGATGAAGAGCTGAACAAGCTGCTCGGACACGTTACCATCGCCCAGGGTGGTGTCCTCCCCAACATTCACCAGAGTACGTTTTGGATCAGCGCCGGTTCTTGTAGCTTGTTTGCTAACTGCGATTTCAGACCTCCTTCCCAAGAAGACGGCCAAGGCTGGCAAGGGCGGTCCCAGCCAAGAGCTGTAAGCGGTTTCTTTCGGCTTCAGCTTCTGCTTCTGCTTTTTCAGGCGCGGGTTTGGCGGTTTGCTTTAACGATAATGGGGTTTCGGCATGGGTTCTGGGTTTCACGGCTACGGCTTTGAGTACTGCAATAGGGCAGGTGCTGTACATTACATCCATGGGTATGGATGAAATCTGACGAGTCGATTACATTTCACACGCGGTCCGACTTGAGTGATTTCGATGGTTTAAACTACAGTCGATTCCGTGCGGAGCCCCGCGATTCTGGTGGGCTCGCATCTTGTGGGGATCTGGGGTTCGCAGGGGATGAAAAAAGTAGTATTCCGTATTGGGAACTGTAGTAGAGTGGAAATACGAGATGGAACGGCTGTGGGCGATATATGATAAGATTCTACAAAGAACGTCTCGAGGAGCTGCTGAATTCGTACTATGTAAACTGCACACGACCGACATTGATATCGATGGGTGTTATAGGACCCGTGTGCTTCAAATGCATAGAGCATCGGACATGCGTGTTTTGCTTTCAGCGAAGCTGTCTAATCGCCCCGCAAATGGAAAATATGCGCCGTCAATGCTGGCGTAAAGTCCAGGCGTTTATGACGTGTCGTGATGTGCTCCACGAAGAATACTGGCTTGCTTAGAAGCCAGATCTGCCAGTCAGCGGCAGCCCTGTTCTCACGGAGATCGCGCAGAGTTGTGACAAATACGCCATTTGCGATTGGCCCGAACAGCTAGCATGAAATCTACAGAACCACCAATGAAGCCGCGATCGATGTAAGCTGTTCACAGGGTCATGTGCGGTGGAGCTGCAGGAACGATCAGCACTCGACAAGGGCTAAGAGGCACAGGAATTGGCTTACGATCGAGGATGGGAGTCGGCAAATTGCGCTCGTACTTGGAACCTGCGGGCATCAGCAATCGTCGCTGCAGCGGCTGGCAGGACATCAACTTACCACCAGGCGCCTCAGGAGGCCTGTAGGGATCCGGGTGCTTCCATTTCTCGAGCAGAGCCTCGGTCTCTTGGATCAATTTCTAGCGGCAAGCATCAGCAGGCGTGCACAGGGCGGGGCGGCGGACGTTGCAACAGACCCTCTGCTGGCGCGGTTCAACGACGTTCTTGTTGGCCTCGAAGAGCGAACGAATGTACAGGGCCTGGCCCCTCCACACGTAGCGGTGGACGGCCCAGTCGAGGGCGAGCTTGAGGGAGCGTCGGTAGAGGGAGCTGGCGGCGCGTCAGTGGAGCTCGCAGGAGGTTCGGGCGGGCGGGGGCGCGCACAGCACGACGGCCTTGTTGCTCGCCATGGTTGCCGAGGTCGCGATGAGGCGCACGCAGCTGCAGGCGATGGCGGCGGTGGTGCGTGGGGCGGGCGGCGCGGTGGGTGAAGCGTTGCAGGAGCCGTGCTGCTCAATGGACTGAAGTTGCGAGGCGGAAGGATCCGGGCGCGCGCCGCTGTACCCTCGGGCGTGGGCCGGAGGACTACCTAAGCGGGTCAGACCTTCGTCACAGGGCTTGCGCGCCAGTGACAGCCAAGAGGCATTTCTTCATCCCATCATCACCTCCTTCCCCTCTCTCCGTCCACGCTTTCTCGTCCCCGTCTGCGCCCGGCTGCCGCGCTGGTCTCGTGCCCCTCCACACTGCCCCCGGCACTCCTGCCCGCCCGCACACAGTTCTGCTCCTCTGCGCCTTGCATCGCCATGTCCTTCCGTCGCGTCCTCAGCACCTCGGTGCGCTTCGCTGCCGCCTACCCGCGCAGCTCCCAGCGCCTGCCGCAATTGCTCTTCCCTCAATACCGCACCTATGCCTCCAAAATCGTCAAGGTCCCCGAGATGGCCGAGTCCATCACCGAGGGCACCCTAAAACAGTTCAGCAAAGGCGTTGGCGACTACGTCGAGCTCGACGAGGAGATTGCCACGATTGAGACCGACAAGATCGACGTCTCTGTCAATGCCCCCGAGGCTGGCACCATCACCGAGCTGCTGGTCAAGGAGGAGGACACTGTCACCGTTGGCCAGGACCTCATCAAGCTCGAGCTCGGCGGCGCCCCTCCGGAGGGGAAGAAGGAGGAGACTGCCAAGGAGGAGCCCAAGGAGCCCGCCCCGAAGGAGCAGGAGACTGCTCAGGAGAAGAAGCCCGAGCCGCCAAAGGAGGAGTCCAAGCCCCAGCCTCCGCCGCAGCAGGAGAAGAAGCCCGCCCCCGCCAAGGAGGAGCAGCCCAAGAAGACCGAGTCGCCCTTTGGCAACCGCGAAGAGCGCCGCGTAAGTTTGCGCCCTGTCCACTGCGAGTCGGACGGAGCTGACGCTATTTCGCCCAGGTGAAAATGAACCGCATGCGTCTGCGCATCGCCGAGCGTCTCAAGCAGTCGCAGAACACGGCGGCCTCGTTGACGACTTTCAACGAGGTCGACATGTCCTCGTTGATGGAGTTCCGGAAACTCTACAAGGACGATGTGCTCAAGAAGTCGGGCGTCAAGCTTGGCTTCATGAGCGCCTTCTCCCGCGCCTGCGTGCTCGCCATGAAAGACGTCCCTGCCGTCAACGCATCGATCGAGGGCCCCAATGGCGGAGACACGATCGTCTACCGCGATTACGTCGACATCAGTGTCGCTGTTGCGACCGAGAAGGGTCTTGTTACTCCCGTCGTCCGCAACGCCGAGGCTATGGACATGATCGGCATCGAGCAGTCGATTGCGGACCTTGGCAAGAAGGCGCGCGACAACAAGCTGACGATTGAGGATATGGCCGGAGGAACCTTTACTATCAGCAACGTAAGTGGCCGCCTTCTGTTGGCGGTACCGTGACTGACGTTATGGCAGGGTGGCGTCTTCGGCTCGCTCTACGGCACACCCATCATCAACCTGCCCCAAACCGGTAAGTCATGGACATGTTGGCAGACTGACTTGATGGATAGCTAATGGGTTGCAGCCGTGCTTGGTCTTCACGCCATCAAGGAGAGGCCCGTTGCCGTCAACGGCAAGGTCGAGGTCCGCCCTATGATGTATCTTGCTCTTACTTACGACCACCGCCTGCTGGACGGCAGGGAAGCCGTTACTTTCCTGGTCAAGGTACGTTCGCTCAAACACTGGTACACGGTACGGTCACTGACAAATTGGATAGGTCAAGGAGTACATTGAGGACCCTCGTCGCATGCTGCTGGGTTAGGTAGGCCTTCGGATTTTTGGCTAGGGAATGGAGGTGATTTTGAAGCGCGCATCATTTCCGCATAATTGTACAGACTGAAGCGCTGCTTAGGCTGCACTTGGGTGGGTAGGTGTACTTATACGCATTTCAATAGTTGCGCCTCCGGAATAGAAAATTTCGTAGAATAATCGAGTTTCGCAAACATCAGCACGACGCTACCATCTTTTCAGGCGAACATGTACGAGCATCACATACTTCCAGGCGTCCTACTTAATTAATCACTCGCTGATCCCTACCTTCTTAGTGCCCCTTCATTCCTGAGGCCAAGAAGAACGGTTGCGTCATACCCCACGTCCCCCGCTAAGGACATGTGTACAGAGCCACCGTCCACATTCACACTTCAATTGCATCTTGTCAAACCATTTCCAACATTGCTATTCCAGTATGGCTTCTCAAGCGTATCCCCGCCCCGACTTCGAGCGCGCCCACGTTCATTGGAAATCGCTCAATGGGCCGTGGGACTTCCTCTTTGACGACGATGATGCCGGATTGTCTGAGCGCTGGCAGCTCCAGGGCCTGCCGGCGCAGGTAACGTCGACCGGAGCTGGATCTTCCAGAGCTGCGCACGAATCCGAGAGCGAGAGCATCACTCAGAAGATTGCTGCAGGCACCCAGAACTTGATTAAAGACAACCTTGCTTTCCGGGGCTCGGCAGGCACAGTCCATCAGAGGCGCCAGATCCAAGTTCCATTCGTGTTCCAGTCACCTGCTTCTGGCATCAACGAGCGTGGTGATCACGAGGTGCTGTGGTACGAGCGGCTCATCGAGGATATTCGCACCGCAGAGGAGAAGAATCGAGGGGACAGAGCTCTGCTCAGGTTTGGTGCCGTCGACTATGAAGCCAAGATCTGGCTCAATGGTCAATTTGTGGGAGGGCACCGCGGCGGGCACGTGCCCTTTGAGGTCGACATCACCGATTCGTTGGACTCAGCGCCATCTGGCCCGCTGAGGCTCACCCTCCGGGTCTACGATTCGGCCTACGACCTCACACAGCCCCGCGGGAAACAGTACTGGGGCGCCAAGCCGGAAAGCATCTTCTACACACCGTCCGGTGGCATTTGGCAATCCGTCTGGATTGAGACGGTGCCGGCTGCGCGGATTGCCGACAGCAGCTTCGGGACCGTCCTGCGTGCCAACGATATCGAGTCTGGCGATCTCCATGCGCAAATTGCCGTCCTGGGCCGCAAGGCAGGCCACAGGTACAGCGTCGAGCTCGAAGCCAGCTTTGCGGGCACCTCCGTCGCCACGTCGCCCAAGAAGGAGCTTCCGAAGGAGAAGAACCACGTCGTCCTGGACCTTGGGCTGCGTCTCTCGCAGCAGCAGCTCTCCAGCTTGCCGGCCGCGCTGCAGCAAGAGGCCCCTCTGGAGAGCGAGCGTTGCTGGAGGAATGGCCTGGCTCTGTGGTCGCCTGAGCACCCCCTGCTGTACGATCTGACCCTACGCCTCTTCGATTCCTCGGGAGCGCTTGTCGACGAGGTGAAGACCTCGACGGGCATGCGTTCGCTCGACTGGACCAAGGGTGATGGCGCGCTGCACTTGAATGGACGGCCGCTGTTCCAGGCCTTGACGCTTGACCAAGGCTACTGGCCCGACACGTTCATGACGCCTCCATCCCCCGACAGTCTGAAGGCCGACATTGAGCTGTGCAAGAAGATGGGGTTCAACGGTTGCCGGAAGCACCAGAAGGTCGAGGATCCCGTGTTCCTGTACTGGGCAGACCGACTCGGCTACCTCGTGTGGGGCGAGATGGCAAACGCCTACCAGTTCAGCCAAGAGTACGTCGACCGCTTCAACCAGGAATGGATCGAGGCCGTCAAGCGGGACATCAACCACCCCTCCATCATCACCTGGACCCCCGTCAACGAAAGCTGGGCATACACCTCCCTCAAGGACAACGTCGAGCAGCGGAACCACATTCGCGCTCTCTACTACATGACCAAGTAAGTCGATCCCTACCAGAGCGAGCCAACCGACTGACATTCTTCAGGACCCTCGATCCCACACGGCCCATCAACGACAACTGCGGATGGGAGCACGTGTGCACCGACCTTACAACTTTCCATGACTACAGCGATGCTCCTGCCCTGACTGAGACTTGCTCAACCCTACAGGGCATTCTCGCTGCCAAGGCCGGCAGGCCCATGTTCGTTGCCCCAATTCCTGGCTTGGATCCGGGTGCAGAGCACCGTCCCGGTGCTGTCACTCTGAACACCGAGTTCGGAGGCGTCAACATTGCCCCAGCCTCGGGCGACTCCGCCGACGAGTGGGGCTACACCACTGCCACCGATCCAGACGATCTGCTGCAACGCATTGAGCGTCTCATGATGGGAATCGTCGAGGCCGGCCACTCCAGTGGTTTCGTCTACACGCAGCTGTAAGTACGGGTACATCACATGTTAACAATTCGCTAATGTAAACTATAGCGCTGATATCGAACAAGAGACCAACGGTCTTTACTCGTTCGATCGAAAGGAAAAGCTTAGCGCTGAGAGAGTAAAGGCCGTTTTAGATAAAGTACTTCGTGTTTTTTATAGTAGTCGCGGCTTATAAGCTATAGCGACTCTAACGTATATAGCTAATAGTAGCTAATACGTCTTTTACTACCGCCAGCTAGCCGGCTAGTCGACGGTAAATTACGTAGAGAAAATCTTAGATTTTGGTATATTACTAAATTATCTATTCTTTACTAATATTTTAAACTACTTCTTTTTTAATTTCTTTATTTATTATAAATTTATTACTAAAAGCGACTTATATTTAAAGATAATTACTAAAAGTAATTTATATTTATATTAAAAACTTTAAATATAATACTATAGATTTAAAATATATATATAAAATCGTATATATTTAGTAGTATTACGGTCTAAATAGTATATTTAAATCTAAATAGTATATATTTAAATTTTTATTTTTAAAATATTAACGTTTTTATTAAAAAATAATTTTTTTATAATAAATAATATTTTTAAATCTTTTTACTATTATAAAAAAATTAAAAATAATTAAATTTTAGTCTTTATTAACGTTTTTTTACGCGAAAAAAAAAAGTTAATTTTTAAAATTTTTTTAACTAAATAAGTCGATATTTTTTTATAAAATTTTTTATTTTTTAAGAATAAATATAAAACTATATATATTTAATAGCTATTTAATCTAAATAGTATATCTAAATTTAAATAGTATATTTTATAATTACTAACTACTTTATAAATTATAAGCTTAATACTATATTAAATATTATAAATAATTTAATAAGTAGTTTAGTAGATAATCTAATAAATAATCTATATAATTTACTAGTAGCGTAAATAATATAGATATTACTTTAATTAAATAAAATAGTTAGTAATATATATAATTATAAAATATACTATTTAAATCTAGATATACTATTTAGACTAAATAGCTATTAAATATATATAATTTTATATTTACTCTTATTTTTTATTAGAATTAATAAATTTAAGTTTTAGTAGTATTATAAATATTAAAAAATATTTATATTTTTTATTATATTAAGAATTTTATATTATTATAAAATTTTAAATATATACTATTTAGATTTAAGTATATTATTTAGACTAAATAGCTACTAATTATATATAATTTTATATTTATCTCTTTAAAAAAATTTTACTAAAATTTACTATTTTTTAAATACTATAAAATTTTAAAAAAAATTAAAAAACTATTACTAAATATATTTATTTTTAATATAAAAATTTTAAATATATTTTTTTAGCTTTAAATATATTTTTTTAATATTTATAATAAATTATTAAAATATTATATTTTTTATAAAAAATCTAATATATTAGTAAAATTTATATATATTTAATATTTAGATAGTATTTTTAATATTTTAGTAATTAATTTTATTATATATTTATATAAATTACTTATAAATTAAAAAAATCTAATATATTAGTAATAAAAACGTAATTAATAATATTTTAGTAAATAAAAAATATAAAAATTAGAAATATTATTAAATATATCTATTTTTAATATAAAAATTAGAAATATTACTAAATATATCTATTTTTAATATAAAAATTTTTAATATATTTTTTTAGTTTTAAATATATTTTTTTTATTTTTACTACGTTTAAAATTACTATATTATTTTATCTAGCTAAAATACGATTTAAATATAATTTAATTTACTACTATTTATATTTTTTATTTTATACTTTTAGTATTACTATTTAAAGCGTTATAGTTAATTACTAGTTATTTATAATTTAATCTTTATAGTAGACTTAATAGTACTAGCTTATTTAATATTATTAGTATTATTAATTTATCTAATATTATTATTATTATTACTATTAACTCTAATAGATCGACTAGTAGATCTAGTATTATATTTACTAGCTTATTTACTATTATATTTATCGCTACTATTAATTTAGATAAATACGTTTTTAGTAGTAATAATAATAGTAAAAATACTACTAAAGTAAAAACTATATATATTAGTTATAAATAATATATTTATTATCTAAGAGTTTCTTTATCTTTTAGCTAAACTATACTATTATTATATTTTTTATTTTTACTAGTATTATTACTAGTATTAATTTTAATTATATAATTAACTATATTTTTAACTATATTAATTACGCTTTTAGCGCTATTTAAACTATTTTTACTATTATTAAAGTTTTTATTAATATTAATATTTATTAAAAGATTTTTCTTACTAGTATTTTTATTATTACTACTATTTTTATTACTATTAGTATTCTTTTTACTACTAGTATTTTTTTTACTACTAATATTTTTTTTAATATTCTTACTAACGTTTTTATTAATATTTTTATTTATATTTTTTTTATTAATATTATTATTTACTAAAAAGCTTTTATTTTTATTTTTACTCTTTATTAATAACTTTTTTACGCGTTTATTTCGCTATATAATATAGTTAAATATTTATTTTTAGTAGTATTACTATTTTATACGCGTTTAAAAGTTTTATAATAGTTATATACGTATTTTACGCGTAAATAACGTTATAAATAAATTAAAAAATTTCTAATAATATACTACTTTATACTATATTTTATTATAGTTAGTATAGTAATAAATATAACGTATAAGTTAATTATAACGATTTATATACTTCTTTTTAAATTACTTTATACGTTATAATAATACTAAAAATAGTATTTTCTTAAAGATAAAGTTATTAATAGTAATTAGTAGTAGTCGCGTTATATAAATACTTTAATAGTCTTTAAGATAGTAGCTATCTACTAGATATTTAATATTATTAATAATATTATATTTTTTAAGCTTATAAATAAAATATATACTATATATATAAATAAAGCGTTAATTTTAATAGATAAAATAGTTATAAACTAGTTAATTATATCTAATATTAATTAAATATTACTTATTATTAAATAATAAAATAATTATAATATTTTTAATATTACTTAAGATAATCGCTTATATATATATATTTTTCTTTATTATCTAATCGTATAGTTAATATTTATAGCTTATTATCTATTACTTTAAAAGTATATAAATAAACTATTATTAAATAAAGCGCTTTATAACGTATAAATATAGCTTCTAAAGTAGAATAAGTAGTAACTTTTTATAAATCTTTATAAGCTTAAAATTAATAAATTTAATAATATTATTTATTATCTATTTAAAATAAGAATAATTATTTAACTAGAAGTAATACGTCTAGTACTTTATTAATATATTACTAAAATATATATAATAGTTAGTATCGTATCTAGTAAAATTAGCTATAAAATAGTTAAACTAACTCTATTTAAAGATCTATACTAGCTATTTAAAAAAGCTTTTATATATAGTATTAAACTTTTTATATATATTTTTTACTAGATAAAAAATATAATAGTATTAGTAAATATTAAGATTTTTATTAATAGCTTTTAATAGTAGAGATTACGATTACTAATAACGCTAATCTAATAATATACTATTAGTTAACGAGTTATATTATAGCGGTTATATTATAGTAGTCGTATTATAATAGTATATTACTAATTTTAAGACTATTAAAACGTCTATAATAGTTAATCTTTATATAATAATTAAGATCTATTATAAAAAAGATCTAGTTTTTATTTATTTTATTTAAATATAGTCTCTATATAATAGAAAATATTTTATTATTATAGTTCTTTATAAAGATAATTACTAAAAGTAATTTATATTTATATTAAAATTACTAATTTTAATTCTTCTCGCTTAAAAACGACTTCTCTACTATATAAGTTAATATTTTTATATAAAGTATACTTATTTTTTAGTATAATCGTTATCTATATATTTAGTTAATACTATTAAGATAAAGAGAGTACTAAGATTTAATTTTATTAAAGTTTTATAGCGCTTAAAAGATAGTATATTTTAGTAAAAGAGTTACTTTTAGATAAAAAAAATTAAAATTAGTAATTTTAAGATAAATACGAGTCGTTTTTAATAATTATTTCTTCTTTATAGTAGTAATAAAAACGTATAAATTATACTTAAACTAGTAGTATATTAAATTAAGAAGAAGAATTAGTTTTATATATTTAAAGATTTTAAAAGTTATAATAAACGCGTAAAAGTAGCTCTTAAAATATTATACTAAAACTTAAAAAGAGAAGTAAAATAAGAACGTTAGAAAGATCTATAGCGTTAAAAGTTTATTATCGCTATTTAGAATATTACTAGATACTAAATATAGAGAATAGTAGTTATAGTTAGATAAAAAAGATAATAAGAGAGGTATAAGATAATAATTAAAATTAACTACGAAGATTCTATCTACTATAAATAAGTATACTATATATATAAGAAAATATTTATCTTATAATTATAATTTCTAACTATTATATAGAGATAAATTATAATAGACGGTTATATTTATAAGAGTATAGTCTTAGCGTTATAATCGTTAGTAGTAGTACTAAGTAATAAGCGTAATTATTAATTCTTAGCGCGGAAATTCGCTTAGCGCCGCGTTTCTAACTTCTATTTTTTTATAAATATTTTATAATACTATCTTTTTTCTAGATAGCTTTTAGTTTAAAAGCTTTTATAAAATATACTACTTTTATTCTTATTCTTTTTTCTTTAGTTCTAAGATATTTTTTACTTATACTTTTTATTATTATTATTAAGCTTAGCGTATTAAGACGTAAAACTAGTATACTAATATATTTTATTATTATTATTAGTAGTAAGAGAGATCTTTTTATATTATCGCTAAGTTTTATTCTACTTATTCTTACTATACTATTATAGACTATATATTATATAACGCTATAGCGAGTTCTTTAGATTTAGAGTATAAGATAATCTTTATTATTATTAGCGGTTTTAACTAGTTTTT